TTGGACGAGTCCAAATCCTCCCGGTCGCGTCCCTCGGGTTGAAGCCGCGGTCGGTCGGACCTTTAAAGGACGGACTCTCATAAAGGAATGGAGGCGACGATCTCCCCATGGTAGCGACTGAATGCCACTCGTGGCAGCCACGCGAAGCAGAATTAAGGAATGTTGACGGAGTTGAGGATGTGGAATGCGACTGTCAACTCCTGGGATGTGCCCAGGTCCAAGTATGTCGTACATCCGCAAACATGCGATAGTCACCCGGGGCAACCGATAAGAGTCACGTGCCATGTATCATTATCTCCGATCACCTCTGCGGTTTCTCGAATCCATACACCATGCAATTGAAACAGGCCTTTGTATGTGCTCAATGCACAGTACGGCTTAATCGCCGGCCTCTTTTACGGTGTCAGAGCTTTGTCTCTCAATTTATATCCAAACGCTCCAACAGTCATGTCGCCCAATCTGATCGACCCGTCCGTGTGGCCATCGTGGGCTCCGGCCCAGCGGGATTCTATGCCGCCTACCGTCTTTTGGCTAAACAGGAAGATGCGATAGTTGACATGTATGAGAAGCTACCTGTGCCATTCGGCTTGGCTAGGTACGGTGTTGCCCCGGACCATCCCGAAGTCAAGGTGAGTCACGGTAAACCGCGATTCAATGATGAGTCGCTCATTGAACATTGTATATAGCAACAAGCTCATGATTATATGAAAATTAGAATTGCGAAGATAAATTTACAGAGGTTGCCGAGTCCTCGCGCTTCAATTTTGTCGGTAATGTCGACATCGGACATGATCTGCCGCTCGCTGCCCTCAAACCACACTATGATGCCATCATATTCGCCTACGGTGCCACAGAAGACAAGGAGCTGGGAATTCCTGGAGAAAAAGCTCTACATAGTGTGCACTCAGCCCGTGCCTTTGTGGGGTGGTACAATGGTCTTCCAGAGCACAGAGATCTGGATCCAGACCTGAGCGGAGAAAACGCCGTTATTGTCGGACAAGGCAACGTTGCACTAGACGTTGCCCGGATTCTTCTTACGGATGTCGATACTCTTGAAAAAACAGATATAGCAGATTATGCCGTGGAAAAACTCGCCACAAGTCGCATCAAGCGAGTGCGAGTTGTTGGCCGCCGCGGACCCCTACAGGTGGGTTACAATGAATCGACTGACGGTATCCAGGTTTCTAATTACTTAACTCAGGCTTCCTTCACTATCAAAGAGATCCGTGAAATGCTCCAGCTACCAGATGTATCATTTGATCCCATTCCAGATGATATCTTTCCGCCGGAAGAGGTCGTATCGGCACTGCCCCGGGCGCAGAAGCGTCTAATGCAGCTCTTGGCTAAAGGATCAGCCAATGACCCTCTGACATCATCAAAGTCTTGGTCTTTGGATTTCTTACTTGCACCCGATTCTCTTCACTGGTCGCCTGATTATCCATACCATCTATCCCATGTGAAGTTCTCTCGCAACGAACTTGATCCATCCGACCCCTACAGCCCCAGCTCCAAGGTGGTTCCAAAGCACTTATCGAGCGGAAAGCGTGCACAGGTGAACCTACCAGCTAGCGTCTTCTTCCGAAGCGTAGGCTACAAATCCCTCCCCCTTCCAGGGCTAGAAGATCTTGGTATCGACTTCGATACCCGGCGCGGTATCATCCCTAATGATGGATTCGGCCGTGTAACAAGCTGGTCGAACAAGGGCCAGCCTGAAGCGTTACCTGCCGGATCTCTCGTCTCCCACCTACCCGGCCTGTACTGTGCTGGCTGGGTGAAGCGAGGTCCAACGGGTGTAATTGCCTCGACAATGACCGATGCATTTACTACTGCAGACACCGTTGTGCAAGATCTCTCAAAAAGTGCAGGTTCAACGTCCTTGCTCAATGCACCCGACCAGGGTAGCGGTCTAGGCTGGGATGGGGTGAAAACCGAGGCTCAGCGCCGTGGCCTCCGCCCCACATCGTGGGCAGACTGGCAGCGAATCGATGCGGCGGAGCGAGAGAGCGGCCAACTAAAGGGCAAGCCTCGGGATAAGCTTGGGCGTGTAGAAGAAATGTTGAAGGTGCTTGATTGAACCTTTATGTATATTATGGACTATCTGCACAGAGTTTGACAATTCTAAATACATACTCGGTCCAGGACTCTCGTTTTCCCCTGGCATTACACCGCTTTCGTGTACTATTCCGTCCCTTCATTATCACATTCCATGGATCTTGTTTAACGCTCAGAGCCCGCACGCGCTGGCATCCGCCTCCTCATAAGTGGCGTCAACACGACCAAGTTGCTCCGCCAGGCCGTTGGTGAGCGTGTTCATGGCTTGCAGGCCAATGTTGAAGCCACTCGGGGCGGCGTCGATAGCAATGACGTAGATTGTCTCGTCAATCTTGTCGTTCGAGTAGTGCAACGCGTAGCATTTGCCACAGTTAGGGCTGTTCCAGCCCGGGATGGTGATCGCACCGCCAATGTTCGGGAAGCTTGGCAGTGATGCAAAGTCGGTGTAGCCTTGAGTGACCAGGCCATTGACACCGTCGGAGCAGGAGACGGTGTTCAAGGATGATGTTCCAATATCATATTTGGGGTCGTAGGAGACGGACACTGTTTCCGCTGCCACCTGAGCCGGAGCAGCAGCAACAAGGCTGAGGGATGCCAAGAAGGCGGAGGTGAAGGTGATGGTGGACTTCATGTTTGTAGAGGATGTTATGATGTTTTGAGGAAGGGGGTATAATGTTTTGATTGCTTGTTGTATACATTTCCCTCCCGACGAGGTTTATATATCTCCATCCGACAGGCCTCCCAAGTAAAATTGCTCTAGTTCCTCTTTGCTGGCAGGCCGCATTCGGCGCAGGTTTTAGATGAAGGTCTCAGATTCACAGGTGACACAGCCCAAATAGGATGCCTTTATCTTGTATCCATCAGCCGATACTCCCGTAATAGATTATCCCCCAGAAACAGGTGCAATAAGGCCGATGTCTATTGTGGGGTTCTCGAGGAAACATGCAGGCAGAGCCTGGCAGACTGAGACACGGCTTATCCCGGGTGCTATTTTCATGCGATCTGCAGAAGGATGACATGGTCGATCCACATACAGCTCACGCGAGATTCTCTCTATGCTACTACATACAATAAATAGGGCGACTGCATCTGAGGTTGCATCATAACACTCCGTACGGATAGAACGAAGCAGCATAGCCACATTTCATTTTCGTCTGAGTTTGAATCACAATTTAAGATTATTTCAAAAGCTGACCTCATTAAACCAAAAAAAAGAAAGGAATAGGAGGAAATGAGGTTAGAGTAAGTAGATGAGGTGAAAGGCAAAAGAAAAAGAAACGTCCCCGGGAAGGCTTGAACTTCCAACCTCCCGATTAACAGTCGGACGCGCTAACCAATTGCGCCACGGAGACGTGCTCGTTGAAATAACGTGAACTATTATGCTAGTTGATCTAAGCCAAACATTTTATGAAAAGTTTTTAACTCAATAACTATGGTGATAGAATTAATATGTGTAGCCGAGTATCTTGCGGCCTTGGGGGTCTCTTGGTATATGAATCCCTTTTTTGCTGTCTCGGCACAACAAGTCTCCGTGGCGCAATTGGTTAGCGCGTCCGACTGTTAATCGGGAGGTTGGAAGTTCAAGCCTTCCCGGGGACGCTTGTTTTTTTTTTCACTTTCCTCTTTCTTTGCTTTTGTTTTGGACCAAAAATGACCAAAACTGAACCTGTGGAGCTGGTTTCATAGTTGGTAAGCCCCGAGTGATTGTCTCTGGTGCTACAAGAAAGTTAAAACCGCTTAATCGTGACTATGTACCACTAACCGCAGGCCGTATGGCCACTTCCAAGGTTCCCATGGTGATGTGCCAAGTAAGGCCGAGTCATGGCAGACTGACATATCACGATTAACAGCATTCCCATCGTAAGGGATTCATTCCATTCCGTAGGAAGGGATCTTGCTTTGGCTCCCGATCATACTGATGATATATGAACATGCAAAAAAAAGAAGGGCCCGAACCGCGATTTGAACGCGGGACCTCGCACAGGTTCACCCGAAGCACGAATCATACCTAATTATTAATTAGTTGAGATTCGCAGGACAGCTTATTGAAGTGGAACGTACCACTAGACCATCCGGGCGTTTGTGTGCTAGAAATCTCTCTTTTAGGATATCTGACTTCAAGATTTTTGCCACGATCTAGTACTCACGATGTTATCATGTGCTTCATATTTACTTGCTCGCTTACTGCTTGCATGTTTACTAGTTTTCATTACATATATTGAGATAACTAAGTGAGACGTTCAAGGTTTGCAACGTTTGCAAAGGGCCAGCTATATGGGTCAGGGTCGGATGGTAAGACGGCTACCAGGGCAAGACTTGCTAGACGTTGACCTCGAAGAGAGGAAGGACATTTTGCCCCGAATCGCAAATTTCATTGTATACTTGGGACAAATAAAAGGGTTGACTCTTGGTCCGGTTACCGATTCTCAACCGGTTAGTTATATATATGAGGATTGCGGCGCTAGAACGACGCTAAGTCTATGGAAGATATGAATATATATATTTGCAGCCTCTAAATTCAAGCATCGATCTGATATCACACCCTCTTAATCCCTGTAATGGCGATATCTGCCGAAGAGATATCATTCTTGATAAAGACAGATCTATTTGCTTTCTCAATATTCTAGATCCTAGGCCCAGTTTTTCGAAGTGGCCACGATCATATGTTCATGATATGATTCCTTCCAAGAGCCTCTCGTGCAGGAAGTTGAGAATGCAATGAACTTGACGGCGAAGAGTGACGGGACATGAAACTTCTTCCTCGTGTACGCCATGCAAATTTAAGACGGACATTGTATGTATTGTGAGAGAAAAAGTTGCCTGGGCAACCCGATTAGAGGCTACTTAGATATATCGCCATATCTAGCGATCAAGTCTCTCATATCCTGAAGCATTCTATGATAATGTGAGCTGGGCGGATTGTCCACTTCCATGCCGATGAGTGTTACTTACTGTCCTCGAAGATGTCGACCCTGGGGGAAGAGCGCCGAGACATGCGTGTTAAATCGCCTAGATTTCGAGTTCAGCGATCGATCTGATATAAAAAATATGGGATTGGTATATACACACAGTTTATAGAGATCGATGCGACCTTGGTAGTCCTCCACCGGGGATGATATGGGGAAGTGTAAATGATACGCTTGAACATACTCGGAAGCAAACCGGTTGCAAACTGGTGCCCATTGTCCAAGTTCATCTATCAAGTTTGGTTCATGGTTAGTCGGTTAGTAAATCTATGGGTTCAATCCAATCATACAACATACATTCATTATGAGCGTAGAAAGAGCAGGCGTCAAACATAATGGGATTTCCTGTGGTGGCATTCTTCCCGGTATTTCCATACCATAAATCGCCATGCACTAGACAGGGCTTGACAGATCGACCTTCACTTTCGAGGGGTCGCAGCAAACGTGGGATAACCTTGTCAAATATGACAGGACTCAAAATTTCGATGTCTTCGCTGGGACCCCGAGCTGAAATCTCATGCGTCAGTGCATGTCGCATTGATCTAGCAAAGCAGGTCTCCCAGCTGTCTGACCACTCAGTGTGCTGTGACAGGTTGCCGCTATAGGTAGTGACGTGGAATCCAAACTTCCCAGTCGGTGATATGCTATTATTGTGTAGGGCTCCAAGACATTCGGTAAACTTTCCCACGTCTGGCAGCTCTTGGTCAATATCCTTGAATTCACATAGGAAAAAATGTGTGTCGGGTATTGTCTCATATGTACCCCAGCCGATCGGCTTGGGAACAGAATCAGGAATGAGATTATAGATTGCAGTCATAGACTCAAATTCGCCTTGAGCCATCGCTCTGCCATTTTCCTCTAGCAGAACTTTCATGAAGAATCTGCGAACCGACCCGTCTACCAACTCAACATCAATGCGCCCTGTTGTGGCCCGAAAGCTAAAGCCATGATTCTCAGTTGATATGACTTTGGCGCCATCCGGAAGCTCTGGCACAGTCGTTATTATCAGGACACTTTTCAAGTAAGTCAAGCGAAGGATCGCTGATACTCACTAGCAACGACAGCGGGGTCAACTTTTGCGTACGGATTCCCGACCCCCAAGTCTTGGTTTGCTTGAAAACTCATGGCTATAGTAAAAAAAAGGTGGGGAGGGTATTTTTTTCTTCTGAATCTTGCCGATGAATCTTGGATTTAGAAGCGTGAGTGAAAGTTTGCATGAGGCATGAGGTTTCAAGAGGTTCGTTCCTCGGTACCTCGCTCCGTATACCTCAGACGTTTACAGCTTGGGGCCTAGTATAGGGTGATATTGCTCTTACCAGAAAGGCCCCTTCCTCCACGACAAGCAGGTGACATTGGGCCTTTCTTGGCGATCTCGTACATTGTTTTGTTTGCGCGTATTTACAGTCACGTGGTAAACATTCACATAGGAGGAGATATAAGACCTACCCGTCCACTTATCCTCCCTAAAATTATGTCCTCAAAATGACCATTGATCATATTCTACAAACTGAAATGCCGGCCGCAACAGCCCCTGTTTCTCCTTTTACCATTCCTGACCTAGAATTAAAGTCGTACTGTGAAGACAGGGACTTCCGAGCCGAAGGGAGGCCCGAGCCTAACAGTCGCTCGCAGGCCTTGATCTACCATTTTGAAGACAAAAAGTGGTGGATCAAAGTAACTTTCAAGGGCGCGGTATCTTCGTTTCCCCACGATGTCGAGCCAGAGCAAGTCAAATCAAAACGCGAACGACGAAAAGAATTCCAACAATTTGTCACGCTGATCGATTTTCATTCACTGGCTCTTCTGGATGACACTGTGACTGAATTAATCTTGAGCGAAGACCCGAAAACAACGGAACCTGTCAATATACATCGCGAACCGGAAGATACCAATCGGTTTGCAAAGCTCATCAACAACCTCCGATTCCATATTCGGGAGGACCCATTGAGAGTGGCTTATCCGCCATGTATTCAATTCCCGTCTTTTCGAGCAATCAATGTCGCAGAATTGATAGAGGAGGATGAAATCACCGACGGAGTGTTCCGCGTTTTACACAGGGGCGACAGAATACCATATATTCTCAAGGTAGTCAACCGCCCCCTTTACCAGCCACGCGATACAGACGTTATACGAAAAGAACTGGAAAATCTTGAACATTTCAGAGGCGTGACAGGGATCGTTCAGCCAGCTGGTATTGCGGTATTCGCCAACCCATACGCTACCTCACAAAAATGGGTCCAACAAATGGTTGTCAGCGGTATCCTATTGGAGTACTATAGCGGTGGCTCCTTACAACGTGTTCTAAACGAACAACGTGTGAGGGAATTCGGCTGGGAGCGATGGGCTGTCCAAATTGGGAATGCTTTGGGCATTATTCACCGCGCAAAGAAAACCCATATGGATTTGAAACCTTCAAATGTTGTTCTCGACGATAATGGCAATGCGGTCCTCATTGATATTAGCGGCATCGGTGGAGTAACGCACGGGTGGCGTGCTCCAGAGATACGGGATGAAATATCACCCTTTGATCTTCCATTCCAAACGCGTCGATTGAATGGCATTTGGGCATTCGGAAAGCTTTTGATGGAAATTGCATCAAACGCCGGGGACAGCCCCTTCGTAGGAACTTTAAAGTGGGTTGCGGATCATTTAACTGAAGAAAATGTTCACAGCCGATGGACTCTATCTGAGGGAATCTCTCAGTTGAAGGGCGATCCTACCCCGGAGTTCGACCTCGTGGACCTTGTGTAGGATAATATCACCATTTTTTTTAAGTGTATACGAACTGCTATATAGGAACCATAATCATATCTCATAGAGAGGTGGCAGCTATAAATACCAATTAAGATTTATTGTCCAGTTGATAACCATGAAAACTGAGACTATATAGTATAACTACCCACTTACTTCTTCTTCCCTGAGACAATCACTCTCTTTCCTTCATATATTCTTCACTCCACACCATTATACCAACCCCATTTTATCCAACCACACCCAGTCGCCGCGGTACAGATATCTAATGAGTTAAACATAAATCAACTTGAGGGTGAGGTCGACTAACCATTTTATAGAAATGTCCTCCCAGGAGCCACCTCGTGACCCAGTCACCAATGAGCCCAGAGCTACGGCAGTTCCTGACCCGGCCCGCCCTGATTCTTCTCAACAAACTGAAGCCCCAAAAAGCACTTTGGTGGCTCTCAAAGATGCGTTGGTAGTCTCTGACAGGTTGATCGGAGATGTGTCCTTGGAGCGAAGCCGTATTCGAAGACACATCATTCAACAGCGCGCAGTGCCTGATAGCCAAACTGCGCACCTTTCTGCAACCAATACCCGGACCGACAACCTTCAGCTTCTTTATGACAGGACAATCAAATTGGGGTCGAGAGCCAACAACTAAATGGCTGTCTTACAACGTGGCTCGGATATTTTGCAGTCATAGATTCGATATTATTGGAGCGCGACGGAAAAAGGAGCAACGCATCGTCCATCACCCCTACTACCTAATTTCATTGATTGGTTGAGGAAGGAATGCACGTCAGCAACAACCCAGGAATCAAATTGAGGAGTTCTTGTACGAAAACTAGTCTTTTGGTGCCTTGTAAATTTCCTCATACTTACCTCAGTCTCTAGTATAACTAGTTATGGATCACCGCTACTATCTTGACTACCGGTGAGAGATGTATATTGGGCACCCGCGTAGTACACAAATCGACATTAATTTAATTAAGTGGCACGACGAATCTTAGACTTCAGCTGGACCTAGTAAAACCCAGACCTAGCCTATTCTGTGTTAAAGCCTGAAATTGGGTTATAAAAACCATGTAAACACGCTAATTATGTGTACAATTCTGCTGACTTTACAGTTTATGAACGCCAAGACCTAATTTGGGTTGGGCCTGGGAGTATCGATGCATAAATACTTATAGTTAACTATAACTAGTTAGTTAGGAAATCATATGATCTTTGTCAGCATATCTGTTCAAATTCCAGTGTCGTCATTCAGCAAGAGAGTAGAGTTACCTGCCAGCAAATCGCCCAACTAAATCGGCCTAGTGGGTAAAGATCAGCAGTGTCTCCCCGATATCTGAAGTGGACAGCCGGCTGCGGCCAATCGCCCCGCTTATCTAACGCGTGGCCTGCACCTGGGCAACCTTGGAAGGCAGCGAATTTTGTTAACGGAAGATTGTTTCTTTTATTTTCTTCTCTTCTTATCATTTCTCATTGTGCGTTGCTTCAAACATATCTTGGATTTCACTGTTGGCTTTCTGCACTCGCTGGACCCGGCGGGATTGTTGTTTCCTCTTTCCTCATTGCTTGGCGCATACGACACCCCATCAATTAGACCATCCGCCCAATATGCGCGACGATTATACTCAAAATGACCCTGGCGGCTTCCAATCGAGCCATGTGTTGCACAGTAAGACAGCAGTGGGTAGTGCACACCCGCCTGCTTACGGAGAGTGGAGCGGAGAAGCTCCAGATACATACTCCAGATGGGACCCGCGGGGATGGTCCTTGAAGAAGAAGATTTTCCTAGCGGCCGGCATCGTCGTGGTAATTGTGGCCGTTGTCGTTGGCTCTGTCCTCGGAGTGCGAGCCAACCGGTACCCCAATTACTCGAAACTGGATTACAGCTTGAAAGACGAATTTTCGGGATCGACCTTCTTCGACAACTTTGAATATTTTACTGCCACCGACCCAACCAATGGATTTGTGCAGTATGATTCCTAAAAACCAAGCCTCAGGCCGAGCAAATCAACTAACGTGTAATTCAGGTATATCGACCGAGCCGCATCCGAATGGCTTAATCTAACATACGCCTCGGACACCTCCGCGGTGCTCAAGGTGGACACGACATACAGTGGAACGGAGGCTGCTAATGGGCGCCAATCTGTGCGAGTCACATCCAACAATACCTATGCTGATGGGCTTTTCATCTTTGACATTATCCACACCCCGTACGGATGTGGAACATGGCCAGCCCTGTGGCTGACAGACCCCAGCAACTGGCCCGAGCACGGAGAGATTGATGTAGTGGAAGCTACCAACGCCGGTACTTTTGGAAGCCAATCGACGCTTCACACGTCGAAAGGCTGCACCATGGGCGTTAAACGGAAAGAAAGTGGCACTGTGGATAACGAGAACTGTTACTACGAGGCGAATGACTATGCGGGCTGTGGAGTGAAAGGCACTGAGAGTACTTATGGCCCCGAGTTTAACAGCAAGGGTGGCGGAGTAAGTGTTCATGCTTCTTCCATCGAAACCAATTTACTAATAACCACCCCTTTCAGGTCTACGCGATGGAGCTCCGTGACGCTGGTATCCGCGTCTGGCAATGGGTCCGCTCCAAGATCCCGTCCGATATCACCTCGGGCAGTCCCGACCCATCCACCTGGGGCAAAGCACTTGCGGACTTCCCCAGCACGGATTGCAACATCGGTTCTCATTTTAAGAACCAGAGTATCATCATCAATATCTCTTTGTGTGGTGACTTGGCGGGTGCGACCAAGTACTACACGACACAAAGTAGTTGCCCTGGCAACTGCACAACATTTGTGCGGGATAATGCGACTAGTTTCGACACTGCATACTGGGAGTTTGGCGGCTTTAAGGTCTATCAAACTTCGTGATTTCTTGAATTGTCGAGTGCGATTCCCCTTCTAATGTGTTCCTGAATTGATGTATATGGGGTTCGATCACTGCCGAGGTTTTGGTCTGTGTTTTATTTTAAAAGGACGGAGTTTTCAGGGCAGATTGTGCAATCAGAGCTTTACATCTCATCACATAGGTGATGATGAACAAAATCTCGTTCTGTGTATTTTTCTTTGTAATAGAAGGCTAATTGGCAACAAGGCCAACGTTATATCTTCCTTCGTGTCTTTGATCCACAAGTTGACCGGGAATTATTGCACCTTGCCTCTCGAGTCGACAGGCCAGATTTCCTCAATGACTCCCCCTCGATGGGCGTAATAGAAATCGTGCAAGTTTACGGTAGGGTCAATATGGCTCGGTACCATCTCAACGCGATCCCCAACCGAAAGCGCCGGGGTCCCTTCGTCCCAACTGAGTGAGCCGTGCTCGTCACCAAGCACACCATAAGTGTACCTCGGGTCCTTACACTCCGCCAAGCCACTATCCGTCGTCAACGATTTCAATCCGCTGTCGATGGTGACCGACCGAGGACCTTGTTTGCTCAAAACAGTTGATAGAATCGTAAGACTATTGGAGTAGAAGGTGCCGACGGCATTTCGGTAATCGGTATCCATGAAAATAAACGACCCAGGCTGGAGCTCAGTGACGCCCGGCACTATGGCGCAGAATTCCGCCGTTCCAGTTCCCCCGGTAGTCACCACCTCGATATTGAAGCCTGCCTTCCGCAGCACGTCCGCAGTATTTGTGAGGACCTCCATAGACTGTAGACATTGACTCTTGCGATCTTCCTTATCATGCAAATGCTGCAAATGACCCTCATACCCGTGGAGCCCGATCAGTTTCAAATGCTTCAGACCCTGCACATGCCGCGCTAGTGTCATGGCTGGTTCACCCGGTAGAACACCAGTGCGATGAAGCCCAACATCAAGATCAATCAAAACAGAGATAGGTTCGTCGATACCGGCTGTCGCCAACGCCTCGTCAATAGCCGTTGCGCCGGCTTCACTGTCAACCACTATCCTGATTTTGCGGTGTTTGCGGAACAGTTCCACCAGCCGTTGTACCTTTGCAGGGCCGATAATCTCACACGTGATAAATAGGTCGTCGAACCCGGCCGCGGCGAGGACTTCTGCCTCGCTCACTTTGGCTACGCAGCCTCCCTTTGCGCCCGCTTTGACCATCTTGTTGGCTAGGATCGCGCTCTTGGTCGTTTTCAGATGCGGGCGGATGTCCAGGCCAGTTGGTAGTAGCTTGTCCATTAGCTTTTTGATGTTGGCTTCGACGAGGTCGAGATCTGCGATCATGGATGGTGTGTCGAGGGTATCGACCCTGTCGCCGACTTTGGGGGAATACATGTTGAATTCGAAGTCGCGGGTCTGGATGGGGTTCGAAGCAAGTTATGTGCTGATGATTAGTGTCTGGGTTTGAAGCTTGACAAGGGGTGTCGCTTTATAAGTTGGCTGGAGAATGCAAGGGGTAAATATGTGCCCGTGCTGTTCCATAATGGACCCCGCACTAAAGATGGGGGCATTCGTGCGGGGTAAGAAAATATAGATTAGAGAAGAAAGTGCACTAAATTGTTATGTATCCCAGAGGATTTTGTTCCTAGAACATTTATTCCTTACCTATGCATATCCAATTAGGTTGAGGCATCTTCTAGATCCATATCTTTTTTGTATCAACAAGATACCAGGCATAATAGCCTTGTCTTTGCAGTAATCGAGATGTTTTTTATATCGACCAAGGTTTAAGCTAAACATTACAGTACCATGGATCGGCTTAGACTAGTCCCGATTCAATCGCAGCTGCCATCCATAGATCTGTTCCGCACGTCGACTAACTTCACTTTCTTAACAATTGCGAAGTTTTCAAGGAAGTTTGATCTATCAACCTTCCAGCTTGGACGAGACTCATAGACCCGCAAGCAATCCCGGCAGCACGATTTCCTCCGAGAACTGCCAGAGTAAACTACTATCCTCCGCCCTGAACGCTTCGCCAGTCCAGTGCGTATTTCTCAAGCCCTGCAACGCATACAGCTTCTCGTAAAACCCGTCCTTGATATCCCCAGCCCCAACTTGAAGAGTATAAGGTGCATGCGATCTGAAATCAACGAATTTCGGCTCTGTTTGGCTAAACTTGTCCGGATTCTCCTTCTGGAGCCTCTTGATAGTCAGGATAATGTCGGCCTTCACGGTCGCATCAGGCAGAGGAGAGGATTTAGGACTCTGCGGAGTGGCGTAGGTGACCATTTGCAATCCGGCAAGTCCTGCCGGGGCGAAGCTGTACGGTCCTGGGAGCGAAGGGAAATTGTATTCCGAGTTTTGGGCTGCATTCGAGATGCTATTGTTGTCGGGGAAGCCCGTGTTCTTGACGATACCGACGTAGTAACCCGCATCAATGAACTTTCCAAAGAGTGTCTTCTCTTTGTTGCTGAGGTCTAGCGGGGCCAGGAAATCAAGCTTTGGGGGTATGGCAATGAGGAGCTTCTTTGCGAGAATAAGCTTGTTGCCTTGGGGTGTACGAACAACAAGCTTGATACCTGCCCCTCCTTCGCCTCGATCCGCATGCCCGACCACGGAATTCAGGAGAAGACTTGAGGACGAAGACAACTCCACTTCAGCTTTGGTGTACAGTTCGCTGCTGTTGTGGTGGGCCGTAGTCAGAAAACCAGTCGATAGATCCTGCACCATCTCCAACCCCCAGTATCGGAATTGTTCGAGCGTCGGGTTCGCCAATATATCTCCGACACCCGGATTGTAGTTGAACATGGTGGGAACCGCTGCTTGAAGTCCATACTTCTGTACGAACTCCCCGAACGGTATATATAGCTCCTCGGGCACAGGGCTTGGAAGGAATGTCCCATCCTTTAGCTCCGGGTACTTGGAATACTGTGCCGTGTAGGCTGCGAAGGCTGCAGATATCTCCGTATCAGATGGAGTGAACGACAGATTGATTGCTTTTCCAGTACTAAAATCATAGTTCAACACTGATTGAAAGAAACCGGTAGAGTGGGTGATTGAAATATCAAATCGTTTGAAGTAGTCCTTTACAACGGTGATGTTGTGCCAGATCATGACTCCCATATCAATAGGAGTGCCGGTTGTGGGATCAATGTATGTCTCAGTGTGGCCACCCAGTCTGTCTTTCTTTTCAATGACAATGACCGATTTGCCTTTATCCTTCAGGCTAATGGCTGAGTATGTGCCCGCAGAGCCGCCACCGATGACAGCCACATCCTGTTTGATAATGTCCTGGGATTTGAATTTCTTGAGATCAAATGTTGAGGGCGTATTTGAAGCAAAAACACTCGATGCGAGGAGACAGGCTGAAAGTGAGACGAAGGAGAACGTGACGAGATGCATCGCGAAGTTGGTGTGAGTACGAGGCTGATGGCGGATCGATGTTGTATAACCTCAGAGCAGAAATCCAGTGCATTTTAAAAGTTGGGCCAAGGCCATGCATGAGAAGAAGGCGACATAGAACATGCAAATTTCCATTGCCTAGGGCGGGCTGGGACCCTAATGGGGAATGGCTAAATTAGGCAAGTTACCGATCTTATGCTGATTCATGTCAACTTCAGAAAAAGTAATCCCCAAAGAGGCATATTTCGGATGATGACAAGAGTAATAAACACATTTTCGAAGCTGGCGTGGATTATCATCCTTTGTGATCGGTGCAGTGCCTAATCCGGCCACTCACTATTCTGCGGGGGGCATGATTCCAGTGTCCTTGCTAGAGGGAGCATAACTGAAATCTGAGAGGAATTGGCTCTTTGCTTCTACCCTTTTATCAAACATCCCTTGGCATTTCTTTGACACCCTGTCTATGACACTATTAAGGATTCCTGGACTAAACCTTCATGCATTTATCATATTGTAGATTAAGTTCTGAGTGAGAATTTCTGATGAATTGAGCTAGTAGTACGGAGTAGAGTTAAGATAACAAATATTATTAAATGCGAAGAACTAAGAAAATAAATTGTATACATGATGTAGAACGAGCGTCCTGATATCCTTCGCAGGGCTACCGGTTACTTGACCAATTCGCTGCAGTGGCCGCGGTCTTGCGACCGTAGGTGTGTCAGATAGACTAAGTGGTCTTGGTGGCCGTTTTCTTGACCTTCGGGACGCGCACCCACCAGTACAGTGCACATGCCGCAAAGATATTGAAGACGATGAACACCCACATAATGCCGAAGTTGCGCCACACATCTGAGTAATTGGATGAGACAGAAGCAAGGTACACGCTTGTGTCGCTGATGGGGCAGAAGTTGCAGTTTGAGGTTGCGAGTTCGTGTTCGACGTAGCCACCCATGGTGGACTTGTATGCTTCCATGTACTCGCCGCAGGTACCGTTCAGCGGGTCGAAGTGCAGGTACTCGTTTGTCGCACATATGACTTTCGTGTTAGAGATACCGACGGAAAGCATACCGCTGACGAGGTACGTGAACGGCGAGACGCGGTACATGAAGATCCAGAAACCTGGGAGCTGTGCGGGGGTAGCAAGGACACCGCAGAATAGGAGGCAGAGCATAAAGAGCATGTTGCCCGTGTTACCAGCATTCTCGGCGGTTTCGAAAGCCGCGATCATGAAGTGTGCGAAGGTGGATGAGAAGAGAAGGAAGGTCCAGATGAAGAGCCACATTTGCGCACCGCGGAGCGTGACGGAGTCAGTGGGCTCGGCGTTGCGGTACATACCGACGGGATAGTACCAGCAAACGAATATAATGACGGACATGAGCGTGTTCCACGGGAGTTCAACAACAATATTAGATATCATGAAAGCTTTCCAAGAGTAAGCTTTAGATGGACGTTCGCGGACCTCGTACAAACTGCGCTGGGCAACGAAATGTGGCATGATTTGCTGGATGAGCTGACCGAAGAGAGTCAATAACATAAATATGGCGAACATCTGGTTCTGAAGCCCCTGCATCGTGTTGGGGGTATTGTATAAAGAGAAACCGACAAAGAGAGCCGAGCTGCCGCATAGTGCAGTCTTGGAGTAGATGTACGTGGGTGAGCGCCAGATTTGCTGGAATACTCGGGTCTGGACTTCGCAGAGTTGTTCGTAGAAAGGAGCGGCGAATTCGCGGTAGCTGGCCTTGTCCTCGCGCTTGCCCGAGACAGTGTGGGCAGGGTTGACCAGCTGGGAGCGTTCGAATTTCAGTTCGGTGAGATGTTTTTGGACATGTGCATATTCGGGGGAGTTGCGCCATGTCTCGTACCAGTCGATATCAGTGTAGGATCCAGGAGCGGCACCGATAACGTCGAGCATCCATTCCGCGGGGTTAGCGGTAGGAGGGCACGGGGGACCACCGTTGCGGACGAAATAGTCAATAAGAATTTGCGAGTTCTCGCCAATATCTCCGTAGTACACGGTACGACCACCGGCCTGAAGGAAGAGGAGACGATCAAATCGCTGGAATAGCATAGCAGAGGGTTGATGGATGGTACACAGAATAGCCTGGCCGTTCTTCTTCAGTTTGTCAAGGAGATCAAGGATAGCCCATGATGTCTGAGAATCAAGTCCAGAGGTAGGTTCGTCCAAGAAGAGAAGTAGAGCTGGCCTGGCGGCAAGCTCCACACCGATTGTGAGTCGTTTGCGTTGTTCGACATTGAGACCTTCACCAGGTACACCAATAACAGCATCAGCATACTCGGTCATTTCTAGGAGCTTGATGACTTCTGTGACATAGTCGACCTTCTCTTGACGAGGAACGTGAGCGGGCTGGCGTAGAAGAGCAGAGAAGGTAAGGGCCTCGCGAACTGTACTGGTGTTCAAATGCAGATCTTGTTGTTGAGCGTAGCCGGTCTTGCGCTGGAAGGAGTCATTGCGGGGTTTGCCATCGACAAGGATCTCCCCAGTGATGACACCCATAGTGGTACGAGTAGCCAGAGCATCCAAGAGCGTGGTCTTTCCGGCACCAGAGACACCCATCAGTGCGGTCAAGGTACCCGGTTTGACCCATCCATCAACATGATCAAGAATCCTGCGATGATCCTTTCCAATCTTGATATCGTAGCAAACATCTTTCCACTGGAAGATAGCAGTCTGGCGTTCGATGATGGCAATGCCGTCCGATTGGGTCTTCACGGCAATGCTGCGGCTACTACCGCCTTCGACATCGTCCTCTGACTTGCTCTTCTTCAGGGCCTTGTGTCCGCGACGGAAGACTAGGATCTCGCCCTTCGACTTCTTTTCGGTGATGAACTCGGTAGCAATCAGATAGACAACCATGAGGGCGAACATGAAGGCAAATATAATGCCGATGTTCCTCCACTTGTGCGAGGCGGTATAGCCATAAGCTGACTCAATGTAGTCGTCGCCATTGACGTAGGGCTGTCCAGGCACTGATCCAACTGTGGAGCAAACACGGTTGTGAGTTCCGACATCCGTGTAGTCAGGACCTGACGGGACGTAGTTGACACAGATGAAGTCGCGGTTGTGGAACTCATTGATCATTAGAGACTCAAAGCCATAGCTGATGGGATTGATATAGGCGATCCAGCGGGCCCATCCAAGCATGTAGTGTATCGGAATGGTGAATCCGGTGTACATGGCGAGACCCAGAATTAGAATCGCGGCGGGGGCCAGGGCTTGAACGAGGGATCTTGTCAATGATGCAATGGACCGGAAGAACATAGACATCGTTAGAGTCAGGACGAATGAGGTGAATACAAAGAAAAAGAAGGCACCAGGTTCGCGCCTCAGGTTTGTCATGAAGTAGAGAACCAAATTGTAAGTGATAGCGTTGAGGACCTTATAGGGCAAATCCATTAACATAGATGCAAATGCTTCGGCGGACGGGTGGTAGAGGGCATATCGAGAGTGTTTCTCCACAATTGCCCGTTGAGCATAAAGAGTGAGCATTTCAAGGCCGGAACCAAACGCATTCATGAGAACAGCAAAGAAGAGGAGAGCACCGCGCTGGAAGAAGCTGTTGGTATCGGCCTTGAGGTTGTAAAATATACTGGCGATGATGAGAGCCATGATGGAATTTCCGATTAACGAAGAAACTGTGATACTAGGATCACCCTTTAATCGTTGAAAACTGCGCCATAAGCACAATTTAACCTGTTGCACGTATGAAAGAGTGTAGGGTGACGATACATGCTGGGCCTTGGCTTGCTGAGCTCTCCGAGATTGCTTGAACTTGTCCAGGTATTCACCACCGAGTGCAAACTTTGCGTTATACACCTCAATGTCTTGCACAAGCTGTGCTCGTTCTGCTGAGGCCTTCCATCTTGCCGCGAACTCATCGGGCGTCCGGGGGACGCGGTATTCATACCCTGGCTGCACGACACGCTCGAGATGGCTAGTCATAGAAGTGAGGAAATCGGCATCAGTTTGTCGGTTAGGGCAGATGAAACCCATGTCAAGGAAGTACTTCTTAGCCGCGGTCGTGAGACCAAAGTAGATCTGGCGACCTTCGTAAAGAACGAGGACCTTGTCGAAGTGGTCGTAGGCAGCCTGGGGAGCTTGGTAAAGGGAAACACAGGCCGTGGCGCCGTTGATGTCAGTCTGCATGCGTAGAGTCTTGCAGAATTCGATAGCATTTGCACTATCAAGACCACGAGTGGAGTTGTCCCAACATTGCAGCGGCGCCATGCTAAGGCAGGCTTCGGCAATACTGACACGCTTGCGCTCTCCACCGGATACACCGCGGATGAAGTCGTTTCCCACGATGGTATTTTTGGTGTGGCTGATACCGAAGATGGCCATAATGACGTCTCGCATATGCGTGGCATACTGGTTCACAGTTGCTCCTCCAGGAATGTGGCGTGGTGCTCGGGCCCGGGCAGCAAAGAAGAGGGTGTCTCCAACCGTGAGCTTAGGGAAGTGGACGTCGACCTCAGCGGTGTAGATGGCTTCTCCCCTGAACTCGGTGGCCATTTGCTTTGCGCTCACACCTGATGACTATTAGCAGGAAGCCTTCACGTGGATGACGTCGGACGTACCTTGGAAATTGATGTTTGAGTTCTTGTCGACAAAAAAGCCGTGTGTCTCTCCAGCGATGGTCTTCAAGAAAGTCGAGCATCCCGATCCAGGTGGTCCAAGAACCACAAGCATCTCTCCAGCCTCCACCAAGCCATCCAAGCTCTGCAGAATTTCGATTTTGCGTTGATGTCGGCCTGTGATCTTCCTCGCCAGACTGAGAGTCTCTAACCAGACGTTGCCAACGCTCTTCTGATAATCGGTATCGGAACCGAAACCGTGCACATTCAGGTTGCTGAAGGCTATACCCAGTGTCCGGAGTGGATGCGCTTGTTTGTCCTCGGTCTGCATCTGTAGCATGGCCGTGCACCAAGCCCGGGCATGGAAGTGTTCCCCATTGGGGTCCAGGGTCGATCCAGGCTCCGCTGAAAAGGGGTTCTCGCCAGTCGTTGAAAACGTTTTCTGCTCTGTGAATTCTCTGGCCAGTTGGTGAACCTCGGCTTCCCTCTTCTCCACACTGGAGACGTCGTCTTTCACACTTTCGGTCTCGCGGTCGCCATTGGCCACGAATTTGCCCAAGCTCATGTTTGCGGGTGTTCTGGTTCGACACCAATAAGCGTCAATCGAATATATTGACTATAGTAAAGAATGAAGGACTGAAGTTTCGGTATCAATTGTTAGGAGCAGAGGATTCTTATATAAAGCAGCACATTGCCCTAGGCTTCTTCGCTCTCAATTTGGACTGAAGGCATGGATAACGTGATCCACGCAAACAAGGCCTGGAGGCGTTTCGCGAACATTTTTGGGCCGTGTCATGTAAACAAATGTTCACCTCAGCCAAGATCGATGGCTCACATCAGCCACCTGGGCAGATCAATGGGTCACGTCAGCCAAACCAATCAAAGATCACATCAGCCAGAACAATCTCGGCCCCGGGGAAGCGCTATTGGCCACATCCACATTGATCTAGTTTAGATTAAAAGCCAAAGCGGGATTGAGCCGTTTCGGGCCAGGGACCTGTTCAGCCCTAGAGTGATCTGGTCTGCCCACCCACCCACGTTGCTCTTGCTTCTGGTATTGCAGTGGATTTCGAGCTTTTATCGCAAGGAAACTCAGATCCCATCTATCTCCTACATCCTACAATTCCGTATTCAGCTAGAGATCAAAGCAGCAATGGTGAGCCTCCAAACCATCCAAGCCCATAATGCGACTCTCAAATCCCTAGCCCCAGGTCTCGTCGCGGTGTTCGGTAAGTTCAACCTGCGTCAACATTCTAGTCTTTACGATGCCCCCGAAGCAAATAGCCCGATCCAAAGGCTCTGCTCTACCCCATCCCCTCTCTTGGAAATTCCATCTCACTAATACCCCCCAGTCGGCGGCACCTCCGGCATCTCCCTCTCCACGGCCCTCGCCTTGGCCCGTCACACCCTCTCTCCCAAAATCTACCTCATCGGCCGCAGCCAGTCCGCCGCCGACGACGCCATCGCCTCCATGAAGACCATAAACCCCTCCGCCCAACCTACCTTTCTCCAGACCGACATATCCCTCCTCAAAAACGTCGACAGCGTGTGCGACGAGATCGCAGCCAAAGAAAAAAAGCTTAACCTGCTCTTTATGACACCCGGATATATGACGCTGAAAGGCCGGGATGAGACGGCGGAAGGCTTGGACCGCAAATTCGTGCTGCATTACTACGCGCGGATGCGATTCATCACCAAGTTGCTCCCCCTCTTGACCGCAGCCGCAGAAGACCCCTCAGTCAACGCCAACGCCAGACTATCCCGCGTAGTCTCCGTCCTAGACCCGCAGGTCTCTGTCCGCGCTGGCGGCTCAGGCACGCTCGACTTCTCAGACCTCAGTCTCAAGCACACCTTTAGCCTCCAGACGTGCCAAGCGCACGCCAGCCTAATGGGCGATTTTTTCCTAGAGGGAATGGCGCAGCGACACACGCATACTAGCTTTGTCCACGCATACCCCTCCGGCGTGGCCACAGGTCTGATGCGTGAACTGCCGGTTGGACGCGTGCTGTCGTCTGTGCTAGGGACGCTGTTGAGTCCATTTATGGTGCCGATTCAGGAGAGTGGGGAAAGGCATTTGTTTGCGGCGACGAGTGGGAGGTTTCCACCGAAAGCCGAGGGGGCGAAGATGGAAGGGGATGTCGCGGTTGGCAGTGATGGGACGAAGGGGAGTGGTTGTTACTGGGTGAATTGGGACGGGGAGGTGTTCCCGGCGAACAAGAAATTAGGGAGGACGAGGGGGGAGGGCGCGGTGGAGAAGGTGTTGCAGCATACCGACGACGTGTTTAAGCAGGTGTGCGAGGATGGCAAGACATACGTGTGAAATGTCATCGAGGTAGACGAAGAAATAGACGTGATAGGGCGGAGTGGTCAAATACCAGGCTTATTCATCAATTCCCCCATTTATACGGTATTGGTGTTGTAACAGCGTATTTGTATAGACCGAGATCGTTCAACTGATCTCAACACTCACAACATATCGGCCATGTTATCTGCTCGGCATTTGACTCTTCCATCTACGACAAGGAAGGTCTTTGCAGTGGAATCGAGATTAGGAGGCATGCGGCTGCCGACCTTGAAGAAGTCGGTGCGTTCAGGGCCCAGGAAGACTGGCGCCGCTTGGTTGGGCCCCTAGAGAACCCTTTCAGGGGTGGCTTGGGCCCACAGTTTAGTTTCATAACTGTCGCAGTACCCGAGTGTCTCCCGGATAGGCTGGAGATTACCAGTTATGCGCTTGAATTTGGTTTCATCCATGACGGTAAGTGCTCCTTGTCTCTGGTATGTGGGATATCCCGAATGAGTCTAATTCACTGCAGATATCATTGATAAAGAAATCCAAGACGCAAACCTGGAGGAGGTAGAACAGGCCTTGGAACAGGGCGGACAGACTGGCAAGATCGAAGAGAAAGGTGGCTCCTCTGGAAAGCGTAAAATCGTTGCCCAGATTCTCCGCGAGATGATGGCAATCGACCCCGAGAGAGCAATGGTTGTCGCCAAGAGCTGGGCCACTGGCGTCCAACATTCGAGTACCCCGGCAGGATGACAAGCAATTCAATACTCTCGAGGAGTACGTCCCGTACAGGTGCTTTGATGTGGGATACGGGTAAGTCTCCGGCACCCACCAACGACCTTAGCATCCTAGGTCAAACCTATCTACCCGGGACTAATTTTATCCTGCTATCAAGGCTCTGGCATGGCCTTGTCGCGTTTAGCTGCGCTATTACTATCCCCGAGGAAGAGGCCGATGAGGCGAGAGAGCTTCTCATGCCTGCTGTGATCACTGCCTCTCTCACCAACGATCTATTCTCCTTCGAGAAGGAACGCAACGATACTAACGTCCAGAACGCCGTCTTGGTTGCCATGAGGGAGCACGGCTGTAGCGAAGAAGAAGCCAGAGAAATTTGCAAAGAGCGCATCCGTGTCGAATGCGCCAAGTATGTCCGCACGGTCAAGGACATCAGGACGCGGACAGACCTCTGCGATGATGTGAAGAGATACATTGAGGTCATGCAGCACACCCTTTCAGGCAATGTTGCTTGGAGTACTCAGTGTCCGAGATACAACGAAGGAGCTAAGTAGAATGAGCTACAGTTGCTGAGAGCTGAGCATGGCGTGGAGAAATACCCGGCAATGTGGCCAAGAAAGGACGCAACTGACGGTCTTTCCGTCAATACCGAGAACAATGGGCTCCTCATCAACGGCAATGGCACCAATGGTCACAGTGTTGAATGTCAGGAATCCATCAAGGTGAACGGCCACAAGAGGAAGAGGATCGGTAACAGTTCGGGTGATGGCATGAGGACAAACGGTACTAATGGTGTCAAGAAGTCGGCACATATCTCGCAATTGAGCACGGATTTATTTGTTCTTGCGGATGTGGTGTCTTTGGCCCTTAATTCGAATTTGCCGGACTTGAGCGATAATGTGAGTTGGACAATTTTTCCTTCGCTGATTCTCCTCAGACAATAGAGACAACCATGAAGCGTAACTGACAGTAATTATTAGGTTGTTCTGCAACCATATCGATACCTTATCTCCCTCCCCTCCAAGGGTTTCCGTGACCAGGCCATAGACTCCCTGAACACATGGCTCAAGGTGGCGCCGAAGTCGGCTAGGATAATCAAGAACGTCATCAAGATGCTGCATAGTGCATCTCTCATGTTAGTCTTCTCCTGCTCATACGGGCCGATTCCCTCTCTACCATTCTTTCTCTCGCGTTTCATCGCTAACGACTCCCAGGCTCGATGATATCGAAGACAACTCGCCACTTCGTCGTGGCAAGCCCTCTACCCACAATATCTATGGCACCGCCCAGACAATCAACAGCGCGACGTACCAATATACTGAAGCGACAAGTATGGCTGCCGAGCTCAGTAACCCGACATCCTTTCGCATCTTCACCGAAGAGATGAAACAGCTGTATGTGGGGCAGAGCTACGATCTCTACTGGACGCATAACGCACTATGCCCGTCCGTGTCAGAGTATCTGAAAATGGTTGATCAGAAGACGGGTGGCCTGTTTCGCATGCTGACACGGTTGATGGTTGCCGAAAGTCCGGTCGGCGGGAAGGTATCAGACAACGATCTGAACCTGTTGAGTTGCCTCATTGGGCGCTTCTTCCAGATCCGCGACGACTATCAGAACCTCGCGTCGGCTGACTACGCTAAGCAGAAGGGCTTTGCCGAAGACCTCGATGAAGGAAAGTACTCCTTCACACTGATTCACTGCATCCAGACTTTGGAGTCAACGCCCAAGTTCACGGGTGACGCGATGCAGTTGCGGGCATTCCTCATGAAGAGGAGGCTCGAAGGAAAGCTCGGCAATGAGGCCAAGCGGGAGGTGTTGGCAACTATGAGAAAGACAAAAAGTTTGGATTACACGCTCGGCGTTCTGAGGGAACTGCATGGCGAGTTGGAAAGGGAAGTTGGAATTTTGGAAGCGAAGTTTGGTGAAGAGAATTTTTCATTGAGGTTGATGCTAGAGATACTGAAGGTATAGGTTATGAAATGGGATGACAGTCAAATAGCAGCATGTTGGTCATGTACATACCCTGCAAGGCCAATCCTAGCGGCAAAGAGCCTGTTAGAAATCCTAGCCTGCATAGGTGCATATGCATGGTACGCAGTTTATTTCCTTATACTGTGAGGTTCCACGGGGTCGAGTTTCTTAGTGAGCGCCGCCACCCTTGTATTATTGCGGGCTTGGCTGTTGTCAATTGTCCGCCTTTCTACTTAATGTAGCCGCCATCAATAAGCTGATGGCCCTGATAGTGTCGTAAAAGTCTGTACGCTCGGTCTGGTATGCTGATATCACGCGCCGCCAGCCTGAAGCCTATCAACGACCCGGAATTAGATTTCTAATTATATTTCTAGCTGTGGACTTATGTCCGGCGTGTCTTCCCCTCTGGTACTGCGCCACCACTCACTTTGCCGCACAAGTTCTCCATCTTCACCACCTAGCAGAGTCCAATACTTTGTCAAAAACCACACCCTTGCCTCCCAGCTGCGGACGTCCCACGGCGTACCTGTCGAAACATATCCAGTGGAGTTATTTCGATCCTTCTTCCCAATGCCTGCACCTCCCCAGCATACTAAACCGTTAAGCATGTCGTGGAAGAAGTTATCCTCGTCAACCTCTTCCTGATGGGCGATGAGACCTTTTCGTAGTGTCGGAAAAGGTAGAATATCTATGTATGGATGATGCTTGACAGTGATTTGTTCGCTGCTCGGCCTCAAGTCCGGCTTCAGTGTCTTGAATGTTCTCTTCACTGTGCAAATCATATTTGCTTTGGCCATATCATCCGCCGACTCCGTGCTAGACTGGAAGAATGGCGAGAGAGATTCGTCGGCACAGAGCGTCTCCTCGGTAATGCCAACATGTATTCCAAGAGTACTCAGTGCAGCTATAGTGCAGACTGTTTCGATGCGAAGGTTGTTGGCATATGGATCAGCTGCAGGTGCACTTGGTCCGAATCTGAGTATCCTGACCTCCCCACAGCTAAAGGGGCCTGCTGGACCTTCTGTCCGGATCTGGAAGTGTGGGCTGGAGCAGCCGCAGTCGATGTTGGTCGTCCAGTATAGACCAAGGGCGTCATTTTGTTTATCACAAATGAGAAGAGAAGGATCAACATGTGTTGTAGAATCCCATACGCTCAGTGACGGTGGTGTGCCGTCTGACTGCGAAATATGTGTTGTAGAATCCCATATGCTCAGTGATGATGGGGAGGTATCTGCCTGTGGACAATATGTTGTAGAGTCCCTTACACTCAGTGCTGATAGGGTGTCATTTGACTGTGGAGTAAAGTATTGACATTCTCTCGAAGTCGCCGTAGATGGACTGGAAGTAGATATATCCCAAGTATCATAAGCTGGGAGGCTCTTTGCAATATGGGTTGGAGCAGTGGTTGAGCCAATCGTTGCGACCGCCTCGGATGGGCCTGTACCCGCAGTTGGTGTTCTTTCAGTAGCACGGCCCTGCGTAGCAGATGCTGCAAGTGCTTCGAGACTCTCTAGGCGCTCACGAAACTTTTCTCCTAGACGAAGGATTAGTATTCCTTTTTCTGGGGATCCCTGTACCCATGATCCGTGTGTTGCCGGCATGCCGATGCCAGAGAAGACCTGTACTCACGGTACTTTCTTTGTGCTTGAGCGTTCTGCTGCCGTCTCTTCTCTGGGTCACGACGGACAGGCTTCCGATTCGCCTTTCCCACGCTGTCACTCTGTAGTGTTCCCTCTCGAGTCTGAAATGGCATCGTGTAAAATGTTGGGAAGATGTCAAAGATGTGGCTAGAACCGTTGCGGGACAGCTGCTGTGGGGGCCATGGCTGACGTGAGCCACATATTTTGGCCCGGCTCCACGATTGGCTCTTCTTAAGTACCGCCCCACTTTTCTTTGTCCCACAGAGATCGGAGCAGCCGACAACTATGCCTAACAGAGTAATATTGATGCCTCAGAATTCTGCTAGAACCCAGAATGCAGGATTTTGACAGTGCTCTTCCAAATCCGTCTACTTCTACACTTTACACCCTGAATATTGAGATCAAAGATCCCGAAATTACTTGGAAGGATATTTAGATGCATCTTAATCGCATATCTTAATCTCATATTTTCATTGATTTTATATGGTTAATGAAAAGTATACGAAAGTGACGGTCCTCCTCTAGAGACTGTGACTTCATCATTTGGAGATGGTTCCTGCCCTCAGAGACGACTTCTAGGTCATGTGACACGTAACAACTATTAATCCTATCAGGCTAAGCCCATTTGGAAAACCGGAAAACATCGGCAAATCGGAATTCTGGTTTACTCGTGAAAAAGAAAGGAGCGGTCTCTTGATATGGCTAAAAATTGGCAAGAAAGCAGGTTACAGGAATAATGTGTTTTCGAGGTATTTTTGATCGAGTATTGACAATGTCTGTCAGCCATCCAACGTGGAGCGGTGGAAGTCAGTTGGTGCTCTTTCAAGCGTATCTGAGGTGGTTGGTTCTCAAAAATTTGGGAAGTGAGGGTATAATCAAAGATAGTTGATATTAATGGTTAAGTCATAGCTAGGTGAGAGTATAGATATGATTTATGTGTGATTTCCGGTGAAGGAACAGCCTAAATAGATTTCTCTTAACCTAGGATCTGCCATCCCTTGTAGTGCAATGAAGAAAAAGCACTGTCGCAGTGTTGCACTGAGTGCCTGCCCACCATGAAAGGTCTCATCGTACCTAATCACCGGCGAATATTCAAGACCCCAGTCACTTCCAACATCCACTTTACGGGCAAAAATAGTCTCATCGTATGTTGTCAGGAACGCATACTTGAGGTCCAGCTCACGCATTGACCGGCTAATTGCCCTATCCGTTATATGAATGTTAGCCTTAGAACATATTGAGCTTGGGGGATTAAGTGATAACACGAACCTAGGTAGCGCCTCTCTTCGCCGTTCTCGAAAGCAAGAATAACCGTAGCCAGTATGTCCACACTTAGACAATCCCATGGCGTTTTTGCCTTTCCGACGATTTTGATGGCTTTGTCCGAATCAAGGACGACGAAGTCCGGAACACCTCTGAAGGCTGTTGCTAGGGTTGTCTTTGTTGGGACGCTCAGGGAGTGGAGAGAGAGAAGAAGAGTTTTGAAGTTGGAGGTAATAGTAGTAAGATACTGCTGGGACAGTGATTTTAGTAATGGTAATAACGGGATCTGAAGGCGACTCGATATGAGGTGAGAGTATAAGGGGATCCGGGGACGATGCAATGGGAGCCAACGCCTGCTCGGTAGGTGCACGGTGTCTAGAACGCTCTCTCTTTTGGCATCTCGATAAGATTGACCCTGATCGGTCTCTCGATTGCTAGCGCACGAGCAAAATAGCTCTTAAGGACGCGAGTGACCGCATCTAGTATATATTTTGAAAGAGCTATAATGATAGAGAAAGATATATGAGGATAGAGAAAGTAGATGCTTAGACAGAGATATGCTCTGCCTGTATGCTCAATGCTTGAATGATCAGTATGCACCCATAGAGATCCTGGTCACATGACTCAAACAGGACAAACAGGGCATTCAACAGCCTCATTTCCCACAATTGTGATAAATCTGCCTATGGATCGACAAGCCACTGAAAATTGGAGACGAGTTTCATCTTTTACCTGCAAGTCAAATACTCATCATAGATTCTGCTCGTAAAAGGAGCCTTTGATATGGGAATGTACAGAGTCTTCCTGTCAACCTCGGCAGTTACCACCGGCTCCACTCACACGGACGTCTGCACTCCACAACCGGCCCCGCCACGAAGGGACCGAATCCCCACAAGGACAACGCCATGGAAATCGGACCGGAACCGAACAAGAAGAGGCTAGCTCTGAGTCGGAGTCGGAGAAAAATACATGCAGATGGTGGTGTGATGAGGTTAAGAAGGGGCTAGAATGGCAGGGAATAAGTTTTATTCAAATCTTATGGAAGAACTTTTTACGTTATTCGTAGGTGAAAGGCTAGGCTAAGCAGTCGATGGGCTAATGATGCGAATAAAATGAGCGACATGGTTAGGTTTCTATCGCAGAAGAATATAGGGCTGGCGTCCAAGCACAACTAGACAGAGCATTACTATCTGTATTGACGCAACGAGATTGAGGCCACAGAGGGCGAATATCTCGCTTACATCGGTTGGTCCGTTATAGCTAGGTTTGCTAGTCGAGTAGTTTGTTTATTTATTATCTCACCGAGGTTGGGCTACTGTCATGAGTCACAAGCCAAGATACAAATTATGGTTCAATGGCTTACTGATGATAAGAAATTAATTTACTGAAGCCAGAGGACCGCGAATAAAAGGTGTAGAGGAAAAAGAACCCGGATCAGATTAGAACAATCTATGATATGTGGTCTTCGGGCGTGCCTGCTTTTGGTTGGCTCGCCTCTTCGGTGAAGATGCGAAAGGATGTCAGGTTGCTGAGCTCGGCAGCCATAACTAGTTAATGGATTGATGCCAGCAAAGCTGAGTCATAACTATATTAATGTAAGGGCGGTGTGCATGATGATACACATGGCCTTGGCGCAACTTGTGAGCTTTATTTCCAGCACAAGTCACATATGAAAAGTACCAGCGAGCCATGGTATCAAATGCCACATATCACCTCAAGGATGTGGAGGAAGAAGCTTTTACACAAGTCAACACCCTGCTTCTTGATGACCTGAACGCGAAAGTCAAAGCATCTCCCTCTCGAGATATGACCGACTTGCTAGAGCACAAGGCTAAAACATATCCTGCACTGCGGAAAGTGTTTCGTGATTCTTCGATGCAGTCAGCAACGCAAAGAACTGACTGCTCTGATGATGGTATTGCGGCTGATGAAAGACATGAGTTCCAAGTTCCAACCAATGCCACGATCATACGGCCACTAAGTGTAACTGCGTCACGGGCAGCCCTGAAGGATTCTGATGACTGTGGTCCACGTTCTGATTTATCTGCCATCATCAAAGGTCTTAATAGATTGGTGGCAACCAGTGAGGTCATTTGGCACCTTGGGTCAACTGCAGTGCTGGGTCTCAATCCAGAAATTGTGATGAAAGCCGGCAATGATATCGACATAAATCACATCCACACTCTAGACTACATCAAGCACCATGCACCGCGCGTTCCAATACCGGATATACATGGTGTCCTTCAAGAGCCTAACAGCAATCGCATCTTCTTGCTCATGTCACGAGCGCCTGGCGAGCCGCTGGATTCAAAGTGGAGGTACATGGGCGAAAACGAGAAAGCTTCAATCAGAGAGCAATTAGATACGATTGTTGGCTACTTTCGGTTCTTGCCTGCTCCAGCCTCTGATGAGACCCATGCTGTGTTTGGTCGTGGCAACCCTCGCCGATGCAAAGATGCACGACGACAGATCCGTGTTGCACAAGGGTGCATCAGCAATGAACACGAATTTAACGAATTTCTCACTTCCCACCCTCACCGGACCCGAACTGGCAACATCGCTATGATCAGGTCCTATCTGGAGGATGACCACAAAATACTTCTGGCCCATGGAGATTTGCATCCACGAAATATCATGGTAGTTACTAGCCTACATGACCCAGTTGTGGACGCGGCTCCACTCAAAGAGCCACTCTGCACCACAAACGGCATTGTAAATCAATCAACCACTCGAGTTACCATCACCTGCGATTCTTGACTGGGAAATGTGTGGCTGGTACCCGGAGTACTGGGAATACGTGAAGGCCCTGAATACTATTATTCCCGGCAACGATATGGATGATTGGTGGGCCTATCTGCCACTGACAGTAGGTGTATGGCCTAGAGAGCATGCGGTTGACTTGATGCTAAGCAGATGGCACGGCTGAGTTGCTCTGGATGATTTAAAATTCATTATCACTGCCAATTTTACCTCTCAGACTCTAGTTTCACTTTCGTGTCCGGGGTAAGCTACGGCAAACGAAAGTTTACCAGATTGTTCAGGTTTTCCATAACCCACGCCTGACAGTTCCAAGTCGAGCTCTGATTGTCCACTGGATTGGACTGGATCATCGAAACAATTTGATTGTGCTGGTTTGCGGGGATGGTTCCCCAAGGGACAACCTCTTTAAGTCTGGTTGATCTCGTAGGTTCCTTTAACATGGACTCCTCTGAATAAGCTCTTAGCAAAAAAGACCTCATGTCAGGTTCATGGATTCCTAACCTTAGGACAAATCACAGATTCGCAGTGAGTTTGACTGTCGAGTCGATAATAGAAGAAATGAAGTTGTCGTTTGGCGTTAGAAACAATATTGCATCGGAATTAAAATGCCAGGGTGCCAAAATCAGCAAGTATAAGTAATGAAAAAAGGTGTTTAGAGTACTGTTTGCTCTGAGATGCCGTTCGGATTGAATTGATACCTTCCCTAATTTTTGAGACCAAGTACGAATGGGAAATATAACAAGCCGAACCAAGTATGATTAGATATAGAACTTCGAAAGCCATATAAACATAAGAACGTTAATCATTACTGGGACTAACAGATGAACAGCCGCACACTTCCCCTCTCGCACTTAGTATCTAAAAGACAGCCCCCTCCCAAATCACCGAATTTTGCGTAGCCCAATCGGAACATCATCGTCGACTTTATTCTGAGGTGCGTCGTCATTCCAGTCCACATTCCGGGTAGAGGCCTTTTGCCGGAAGAAGCGGTACTTCTGCAAAAGCCTTCTATAGAAGAAGAGCAAGGCAACTCCAATGACCAATCCAGCCACAGAGCCAACCACAATACCCGCAATAGCCCCGCCTGAAAGACCAGAGCTTTTTTCACTCGTGCTAGCCGAGTTCTTCGTTGTGCCCGACGCCGCAGTAGCGGTAGATCCAGATGCGGCGGTCGTGGTAGTAGTCACGTCGGTGAACTCGTCACTTGTCACATTGAAGCAAGGGACCTGGTAGGTGAATTTGCTCGCAGCGACGTATGTGACGTCTGCACACGCGTAGTAGGTTTCGTTTTTGTCAGTGTCGAAATCTGAGGTGTATTTGATCTGAAAGGTGGCGTTCGTTCCCTCTTCTATGTCGATCGATGGGTTGGGGACGGAGTAGCATTCGTGTCCCGGCTCAATCTCGCTAAGAGTGGAGCCGTTAATGAAGGGCTCAAAGTCATCATTGGTAGTTGGGTCTAAGGGAAGGTTAGTCTGGGTAGATAGAAATGACGGAGTAAACTTACTGCTCTTGTGAGAGATGGCAACCTGCATTTTCCATGACTCATCTTGGAGTACAAGTGCGAGCTTGCCGTTGACTACAATGTCTTGTCAGTATATGTGCTTTTTTGTGGATAGTGAGGCTCTTACTAAGTGGGAAGTTCGTTCGGTTCACGGGTCCTGTTGATGATCCGCATGGGGCGTTGTTGTCATACGCTGCACCCCAGAGACGATCGGGTGGCCACAGGAAGGCAGCCGGGCCCATCTCTTTGCTCGCTTCGTCGCCATGGGCACACAGCCCAACTGCAGAGAGAGCGAGTAGTGCGAAGTAACTCTTCATTATATTGAGAGGATATACTAGAAGGAATATTATAGAGAACAATCTTGAAGGGAAAACGAAAAAACGAGACATAGCCGTTTATAAACATCCAGTCATTCTCGAGTCCTCGACTGCATGACAATCTAGAATAGATGAGTGCCGGCTTGAGCCGACTCCGCTGCCACGAGGTTGACAAATTGCCAAGTGTACCAAGTGCTTGGCAACCATAGTTTCCTGCAAGTTATGTCCGGGAATCTTCTCACCGGAGTTGGACCACTGATAGGGATCCATTCAGGCCGAGTCACAAGCCAAAAGTCACAAGCCAAGATGCAACTTACGGTTCGATGGCTTGCATATGATAAGAAATTAATTTATTGAAGTTCGAGGAGCCCGCCGGATAAAAGGTCTAGCGGAAAAATCATACCTAGGACCCGGATCTGATTAGATTAATCAGATAAGATGGGTGGGTCTTCTCCGGCTAATTTGGCTGATTTTCGGAGCTCGCTTAGACATAGTATTCCCATGATGGTCTGGGTTCATTTGAGACATTGCTCTAACGGGCAATCTCAGCCGGAAAAGCTCTTGGTTCTCCGAGGGTACGTACCACTAGGTAGTTCTCGCTCCGAAAAGACCATCCTGCCAAGCATCGTATCGTTCTTGGGGGGACATCCGCAGGTGAATAAGTAGACACTGAACTGCCGTCACTTGGGGTCTACATCTTCTGTCTCTATAATTCTAAATACCAACTTCATACCTCATTTCATTCGTTAATATCATCATGCGTCTTGTTAACCTCGCTGCTCTTGCCTGCGCTGTGATCAGTGCCAGCGCATTCGACTTCCCGGAATTTGTCCCTCTGCACCGGCGTCAGGAGGCCGGCACTCCAGCATATGAGTGCCACGCCAACTGCGGTATGTTCCATATCCTCTATGCAAATCATGACTCAAACTAACAGATTAGGCGGCGTGATTGTCGATGGCCGTACTGACGGGTACTGTGATACCGATGATTTCACGACCGAGTTGGCTGCTTGCTTGGAATGTGCCGTTGAGTATGACATTTGGCAATACTACGGAACCTCCGTGTCAAAGGCCGCTACTGCGTGTGGATTGGATGCCACCCCGGTCGAAGCCTCTTCCACCACTACATCTGCCAGTGCAACCACTACGTCTGCTAGTGTAACCACTGCATCGGATAGTGAGACCACTACATCCGACAGTGCTAGCACTACCGAGACTGCAGAGGAGAGTGTCGCTTCCGCTGAGAGCACTGCTGCGGCGACCACCTCTGCTAGCACTTCGATCGCGACAACTTCCGTGAGCCCCCGCGTGTTTCTGGTTCTCCTCGCCCGTCGTCATTGATTCCTTCGGCCACACCCACTGGAAGCTCGGTTGGTTTCTCTTCTACTTAACTATGGACTCATAGCTAACTTGCCACAGACTGCTTCTAGCACTCCTTCCTCGACCCCCGTCTACACTGGTGGTGCTATGATTAATATGGGCAGCGGACTGGTGTCTGGTGCTGTTGTCGGTTGTCTCCTTGCAGCCTTCCTGTAAATAGTGGTGTATAGTAATACTTGATGGAGCGAAGGAAGATGTGAGAAAGATTGGTGGATGCTGTATATTCAATTCTCTCTTGTGACAGGTCTTTAACCTGTCTACTGCACTATTGCAGCAAGAACCCTTTATTAAGACTCGAAATTAACGTTCTAATCCAAGAGTCTCAGATTGTAGGCAGTATTTTGCTTGAAAAGATAGTCCCAAACTTGAACCACCGAGATCAAACATACGATCGAATCCTAGAATGACGAAGACGAGCGACCAAGAATCATAATGATACGTAATATACCACTAATTGCGACGATGTAACCCACTCGCGACTTTTAGTTAGAAGTCCTCAATCCGTTTTTTTGACCAAGTTTGGTATTGATATAATCTTCCCAGTATACTTAGGTACACATCGTCCATCCTGCTAGCTAATTAATACCGATGGACCATTATGAATTAATCTCATCACTCTCTCCATCTAGTGAGTTAAGGTCTGTTTCCAAATCTAACCCACAGCCAAATTGAACTGCCCTTTACCTTCAGTGACTTCGAACTGCCACGACTTCCCATCATACTTCTGTCTCTTTTTCACGGTCACGGGGAACATTCCCTCAACCGGACACATGTTGGATATGGTTGCCGATTTCACTTTCGGTGGCGCATTCCAGGACCCATCGACCGGAGCAACATCGTATCGTAAGGCAATCATAGCTGCCAGTGCCAAGATCTCACTAGTGGCAAAGTGGCGTCCTGGGCAGATTGAGGGAGAAACACCGAATGCCATGAATCTGCCGATGCGCCGGGCCTCCTTTTTCTTGCCACCATTATTCTCGGTTGTTGTAGTGGATCTCATGAACCTTCGTCCGTCGAACTCGTCAGCCGAATTTCCCCAAGCGCTCTGATCTCGGCCTAATTGCTTCGCTGGCATGAAGAGCATGGTTCCAGAACGGAGAAAATATTTGTCCGCGAGGACAACATCCTGTGTCACGACCCGGATGGTTACCATTGTTGACCTTGTCCGTAGAACCTCTTGGTACACCGAGAGCAGAAGTGGACAATCATCGCGAAAGTACCCTACATCAATGATATGCGTACCGTCGGGTGCGATCTTGAGGGCGTTCTGCTCTATCTCTTCGCGTACCTCTTCGAGCAGTTGTAGTCTCGAGAAAAGCTCAAAGTGAACCCAGAATGCGGCAGGAACGGTGTTTGCTAGTAATCCTACAATTAGGGGCATTTCCGCATATGCTATTTCTTCGTGAGTAAGTCCAGCCCCCAGGAATGACCTATATCGCATGGCTACTAGCTCCGAGCCGTCTTCATGACCGCCGAGGTCGAAATAAGTTTTGAACGCAGCACACAAAGTCTTGCGTGCCTTCCAGGTCTTAGGGGCAAGTATCCATGGCAAAATGCTGGCCAGTAGTAGGGCCACATTACGTTCGAGTTCCCTGTCCGGGTATTTGAAGGGTTTTGTAGCAAGTTATAGGTCGGATAAACTCACCAGAATGTGTCTTCAATGTGTCGATTTTTGAATGGGTTCAAATTTCCATATGTTGCATTTGTGCTGACACTAGTAATGGTATGCCGAAGCCATGCATTCAAATCAACAGTCTCATAGTTGCCCATGTCATCAATGATGGGGAGTAGGTGCTGAAGCATTATCGTGTTAATTCCGTCAAGGGATCTCCCCGCAAGGATGGGCCCAGTATCATGCACAATTTTGGAAAGGATGCTCGAACCATAGCTTTGATCACATAAATGGACCAGCTTATTGCGCGGAGTTTGACATAGCTGCTTCTGTGTGAACTTCACCAACGGTTCCAATGTAATGGCTGTTGGGTGCTTTTGAGCAGCACGCATGATGGCAGGTGATGAAGTCACAAAGAGCCTGAAGGAGAATATATTAACCCTGAATATTGGTTGATCGCGATGTTTTTCGCTGTCGAATATGTTGGGTTAGTTCAAACTGTACAAATAATATGATCGATGACTCACCATAACATGCTAAGATATCCTGGGCCATGTTGGATGAGGCCAATCAGATGGCCCACAAACGGAATCGTACTCGATACCGAGGGAGGCTCGCGCCTTTGACCGTGAAACGAAGTATACGATGAGGATAGAACCACAACCAATACTACACCGATAATCGCCAGATCATAAAAGTCTAACATGGCCAAGTTAGTTCAAGATGTTTGAGTGAAGCAGAGTTTAGGGAATTGTCGGTGAGAGGTAAGTGAGGCAAGAAGCAGCGCTGAGAGTTTGTGATTGCCCACGTCAAGGTCCTGGAGTCTCCCAAATAGGTAGTTGCTGACCAAACGACGTTTCACAGAATAGGAAAAGTACATGTTTTCAACTGAGATTGGCTAACCCTCCCGTTGATCGACCTTCATTAATCTCGAGCCTTATTCATGTTATTTGATGCTATTACTTAGATAAAGTTGCGTCTGGTAAGTTTATTTGCACTACCAGTCCACATAACTCACTAAGACGTCCTATTCCTCTAGGAAATTCTATACTAATGCTCATGTTTAGAGAATCAAATTTGAAATGGTTTGTTAACCAAAGTGAGGCTAACAGTACGATCGGAGAGTGACGTGGCACACCGTGACACGCATGAGATAGTAGCCCCCACTCTCTCGTTTCGAACGTTTGGTAAAAGGATAGTTTCAGAATATATCGGCGTGGTAGTTATTTTTGTTTTGGCATAACATAGTTATCGTTGAATTTGACTACTGAGCTTGTACGTCAACGCCAGGGGTCATAGATGCAAGTATATCTGCGAGTCCCGCATATCACCTTGATCAAAAAGCTCTTTGGCCACTTCTCTTCCCTTAATAATATTGCAAAATGTTTGTTTTATAGGAGACGAATCATATCTCAAGTTCTCAATAATCTCTGACGTTTCATGCAGTAGATATTGCAAATAGTACAGCGCATATTGCCACTGGACCATAACAAAGACCAAGGTTCCCATTTAGGGTCCACAGGAGTCATAACTGTTGTCTCCACATTACCCCGCCTAGACTAAGTCAGATAGATAAAGAAGATAAAGACCAGGTTGATTTGGCTCTTTCCTTCAAAGTCTCTTCGCAGAGATATTTGATCAATTATATATTCTCAATATGGGAGGAGAGACCCTACAAGTGAAGCGTTCCCTTCTGTGGGAGAGGGCTCTGAAGAACTATCATCAAGATCTTGCCGGTGATAAGGAATTCGTCAAGATACTCAAGACTAGCAGCCTTGAGGAGCTTCTTGCGGATATCCCCGTTCTACGGCCAGTTAACTCGTCGGAAAGGCCACTTCCCTGCACCGTTGATCGACTGGAGCCAACATTTAAACTGTTGAATGATTTCTTAGTGATACTAAGAACGTCATGTGGCGCGGAGTCGGCGCAAACAGCGCTAGTATGGGGCAGTATACGAATGATTATCACGGTGGGCTTCCTTCATGAGAGTCTACACACTCTTATTTGAGGCTGACTAGTGTGCAGCTGGCATCTACCACCGACAAAATTTTGCAAGAAGTCTTCGATATGATTGAAGAGCTGGCCTTGACATTACCACATCTGGAGTCCTGCAAAATCACTGTCTCAATGACCGCGGATATGGAGACGGCACTGTTGAGTCTTTACCAAGAGTTTATCTGTTTCTATGCCCGCACTATCCGTTTCTTTCGGAATTTCAGACAACGTAAGTATTGTGTTTTCAGACTCAACCCGGTCTTCATACTAATTCGAGCCAGCGTTTATGATGCGCAGCTCATGGCCCACCCTCCAGGGCGATTTTCAACGAACGATCCAACGAGCTAAGCGCCTATCTAACAATATCGAGCGCGAGATTGAGCTCAGTAGAATGCGACTCGATAACCAGAAATACCATGTGGTTCTCGATTTCATGGCGAGTTTCAAATCCCAGATTCCGAAGAATGGCGATCAAGTTTCGCACCATCTTCCTTTCGTGGAATGCTCCCATTTCTATGGTAGAGATGATATTCTTTGCCTAATAGATGAAGCGCTATTTGTGCAACCTTCTGCCCGCTCACTTCGATCCTTCGCGTTATATGGCATGGGAGGAGTCGGAAAGACACAGATCGCATTGAAGTACGCCAACGCATCGCGTGAAAAGTTCGATAATATTTTCTGGATTTCAGCCCAGAATTCGATAACAATTGGACAAAGCTTTCGAAATATTTCAAAGGTACTCGGTTTGATTGAACTAGACACAGAGCTGGACGACCATGCCACCATTCTCAAAGTCAAAGACTGGCTATCAGCCGCAAGTAAGCCACGGACACCCGGCTCTGATGGGTCAAATATTGAAAACTAACGAACAAAAATATAGAGACCAGCTGGCTCCTTATATACGACAATCTTAATGACTTGAGCTTGATCAAGCATGCTTGGCCGGCAGGATATGGAGGGTCCGTCCTAGTTACCAGTCGAGACTCAAGTGCGGCCTTGTATCCCGCCTCGTCGGGATGTCAAGTACACGCTTTTGATACGGATAATGGGACCGCCGCGTTGCTCCACCTACTCGGATTGGATTCTGAGTCTACATCTCATCAAGCCGAAGCTAAGCTAATCACTTCAGAGCTTGGAGGTCTGCCTCTGGCGCTCAACCAGATCGGCGGATTTATCGCCCAACGGCAAATGTCCCTGAAGAGTTTTCTCGGCTTCTACGACCGAAATTCAACTACTGTCGATGCTGAGCGTCCAGAAAGTATGGATTGCAGTCAAACACTCGCAAGTGTGTGGGAAATGGCGCTGAGCGACCTTTCCCGGAATGCTAAGGTCCTGATCATGATTTTATCATTCCTAGACCTCAATGGTATAAATGAGACAGATCTGAAAAACGGCACGGTTCTAGCAAATGACGCAGCCGTGAGGTTCATGATGGATGAGATAGAGTATGTACGTGGAATCCTTATGGATAACACTACTAACCTTATCGTTAGCTTTTTAGATGCCCAGAGAGACCTCCTCCAAAGATCTCTCATAGACAAGTCCAGCGAAAGTGGAGTGATTTCCATGCATCGGGTTGTTCAGCGTGTCGTCATCCGTCGAATGAGCGACAAAGAGCGAGACGAAACCTTTTTGCTCGCTATAGCCATCGTTTCCGCAAACTTCCCAGATACATACAGCGCAGATATCGGTCACCAGATTGCCTCCTGGAACGATTGCAAGAAGAACATGACCCACATTGAGAGCATTGTGAGCAAAGGGACTGAGTTCAAGATCTTTGAAGGGGAGAATCAACCATTTGCGGAGCTTCTGCTCCGCTGCTCCTGGTATGCTCCAAAGTTATAATCCCAAACATTAATTCTCTAACCAAAGGCAGGTATCTGTATGAGACAGAGAATTACAGTCTCGCTCGTTCGTATGTCGACATCGCTCTGCAGAAATTTGTCGACAAAGATTCCCTTGCGTATGCCAGTGCAGTGGATCTTGGAGGTTTAATCGATCTTGACATTTGCCATCCGTCGGCCGCACTGGAGGCCTTCGAAAAAGCATACGCACTACGCACATCAATCCTTCCGAGCGATGACTTGTTTCTGGCTGCCAATCAGGTCAATTTAGGACTTGCTCTCACTGAGATTGGCGAGTTTGAAAAGGCTCATGACTATCTCCAGCAGTCAATCGATATCCGGCTCATGCACAACAGTGACAGGATTGGTAACTCTTACAGTAACATGGCCAGTTTGTTATTGAGGATGGGAAAGCCCGACGACGCTGAAGCTACACTCAAGAGCTGCCCATCATTGAAGGACTTTTCAGATGAGACATTTCTCGAAACCGGAAATCCTAGGTTCTCTGGGTAAGTTTTCTCGTGAAGGCCCGGAATGTATGCTTAGAACTAACATCATGCAGAGATATGGTACTATTGAGCAGAATAAGAAACGCCCAAGGGCTTCACGACGAAGCACTCAAGTTTGCATCCGAGGCCTTAGATTTCCGAAGGAAGTGCTCCAGTGAACGGCTCAAGGTCTGCGACTCGCTTTATCAAGTGTCGGTTCTTCGGCACAAAATAGGCGAATTGGAGCTTTCCCAGTAAGTACAAACCAATACACAGCAAATGACCATGAATGCTGACATATTTCAGACAACTACTTCAAGAGTGTATCATGATATCTGAGGCCCTTCCCCAAGCTGAGGGCCTAGGACATCTCGCACGGGCAAGCTACAAGATATCGCAAGTTCTGGCAGACCTTGGAAAACCCGAGGAAAGTACATTTTATCTTGAGAAGGCGATCGATATACGAGGAGAGTTCATGAAGCTGGATGGAGATTACGTTGTTGTGAACGGAGGTGCCTCGGATTTCGAAAACCTGGTCCCGTGGATGCTGTGGTGATCCACATACGAGGCCAAATATGTATGCATGTCGCCCATGACTTGAATAGCGAGGAATATTGAGAGGGGCCGGATCCCACAACAGATATTCTAGCTTACCGTGAATTTTACAAATTGATCATCTTTGTTGTTCAAATTTCATACTTTGAAAATATCATGTGACATGGGACTATTAAGGAAGGTGCGATGGAGGGTGTTCATTCTGGGAAGGCACGTGGGTTTGGGGTATAAAAGGACCCTTCCCCCCATTTCTCCTCTTCTTCTCTTCTTCTCCTCTCCCTATCCCTCTGACCACCATCTCACCGTAGCCCCCCGAGACAGCGTAGGCAGAGGGTCCCGTAGCACATGTTGCTTCACCTACCACAGGGACCATGACATTACCATATGTATGAGGTCCATGTAGGTCTGCATCAAACATCAAACCGGGTTTTCTCGTGGACATCCCTGAAGCCGTGGCTCTCATTGCCACTTGACGAGTCCTACGGAATACATGAGGGGTGTAAATCTCCGTAGCCGAAGACGCGTAGGTTTGAGTTAATTGTAAGCACGCTGGTAACCGGAGTAGCCACTGCAACGGCAAACCCATTTCCACTGTCTTGTTAAGCCGAACAGCGAAGCTAGGTGATCGTGGCCTTACCATTCCGCACTAGTGACCCAATTCAAGAAAAGCATCACGACGTCCTCATAATCACACCACGACACCCGAAGTCACAAGTTTGCTCCGACAATTTCGAGATTTGACGGTAGCTGGATGGAGAAGCCAGTTAACCATCGCTTCTTTTCAGTCCTGGGTTGCATCAACATGGTATGGCCCCAAGCACCAACGCGAGATGCTGAGATTTTGACCATGTTTCGGACGCCGTCCATGCTCTCCCTCAGCCTCGACGCCTATTTTCGCTCTAACATATTTACACAATATACAAGCCAAGCCATCAAGCCCTCTGACTCGATCTATACAGCCAGTCCCTCGAGCGCAGCCTGCTCTGCCAATGCCTTTAACGATCTCTTCTCTTTTTCAATCCCATTCCGTCGCTGAGCCGTGTCACACAGTTCCAGATTCCCACATTCACATTCCCCATCCCTGAGCCACCGATAAGTGATACTCCACCGTTTCCCGCGCGGTCTCATCGTCCCATCCGGGAGGGGATCATTCTTCCGCTTCCTAATACCATGCGTCCAATGCAGCCTCGAGTCGCCGCTCATCTGCATCATGCTCCGCGGGGTCAAGTCGACCTCGATGCGTTCCTCGCCCCGGCGAAATATCATCACCGCCGGCGCACCAAGAGATAACGCGTAGAGCTGGTCATACGGTCCGTGTGCATCTACATGGGGCGGGATGCCCGCCCCTGGAGGATAGTACTGCAGACAGACCTGGTCTGGAGGTCGCTCCTCGGTTTTTGGGATGAGAGGCTTGAGCCATTCTGGGAATTCCTTGTATGGAATCTCCGGGTCTATCCCGAAAGTTTTATAGTCGAAGGTGTAGCCGTAGTGGAGTGATATCCGGCCAGGGCGGTCGGGCCATTCTAGCTCGTTGGCAAACAACGAGATGAGTCGTTGCTCGTGTTCGGCATTGACAAAGTCTTCTTGCCAGAAAATGCCGTAGGGCTCGGTGGGCAACTCGCGGAAATTTTTCCGATCTTCCATAGCCCTTTTTGATCCTGTCGGACCTTGAAGGTGGGAATAAAGTGCGTGGAACCTTTCTTTGCACGTGTAATTTTCAAACTCTGATTTCGGGATGTATTGATTACCGGTATCAATACCACACGCTGTATAGACTCCCACCATAATCTTGGAAATTGTCCACCATCAAGTGTTTTGAGTTGTATTGAAAAATTACCGATTCTCGCCAAGAGCATCATCAAAATGTATGTTTTGGAGAAGTCCTTGTTTGGGATTTTCAACAGGCTTGAATTAAATTCAATCTAGTATCGAAGAGTGTGCACGATCAGCCGGCTTTGGTCTTGTATCTCCACAGGGAACGTCGATTTCGGTAAAAGGACAATGAGGCAATCCATAAGAGCATCGACAACCAAGAAATTCCTTATTTCAGCCCAATATCCCGGCTTAAGCACTCCAAAATTCGCCACCAGTTCCCCTGACCCTATACTGCGTCTCCCTGCTCCGATCGACAGAGGGAAGAATAGGGCCCGGTAGCGAGGGGACTTCTGAAGGGCGATTCTCCCAGTAACTCGACATATCTTGTAGCGAAATCCCTGGAATTTGTTAACCTTTAGGCACATCTTACTCCATTGGGATACCCACTCACGTTTATACGGTTGAAGCCCATCCGAGACAAAAATGGGTGTGCTTTCGCGTGGCGATCGTCGTCGACGCATCTGAAAAGATTCTCCATCTCCATCTCCATTTGTATGCATGAGAATGCCCACGCTGACAGGTCCTTCAACCTTAGGACTGCCTCCTCGTCGTCTATTCCCTGAGACATCATTGTCGTCCGAGAATGGGTGTTATAGGAGGGGCCGAGGTATCCAATTGTTTCTTCGAAGGTAAAAGATAGCTTGGTGCATAGTATGGGTGATTATTATCACCGTTATGATCGTAGCGCTTGACCTGCGGACTGAATATGTAGGTGCAGGTGGTTATGATGGAGATGAGTAAAGGGGGAAAGGAAAGCGTTTGCGGTGTAACTCAAACTCAAGGTCTACTTTTTCTTTGTCTGGCATAAACAAGCGAAGGCCATGTATTGATCCGAGTCTATCCCCGGCATAAGATGCAGTGTCTTCCCACTTGATATCATCCATAGTATATGAAAGTTGGCAATATACTAATATAATTACTTGACATTGGCTACAACGAATCGTTTTAAACTGGGTGGCCAACCTTCCTTCGGTAACTAGCATAAACTTGAGGCATTATTGCAATCCAGGCCAGTCTGTTCTAATATAGCCCACATTGTTTCTTTGTCTCCATAGCAAACCACATCGCAACACGAAATTAAATACTTTATTAGATCACCGTCTACCAAATTGTATCAATGGGATTATACTCAACCAAAAACACCGGAAATATCATACAAGGAACTCCGTGGTGACGTTAGAACTTGAGGCTCAACTCGGAATTCCGGTTGTGTGTTTGGGCGCAAGAATTCCCTATTTAAAGAAGACAGATATAGATTTATAGGTAGAACATTTTTCAACTACCCACGCAATCTAAACAGAGTCATGTACGATATCGTTTTGTTGGGAGCGACCGGATTTACCGGAAAATTGTGCGCACAATTCATCGCACAAAATTACCCTTCGATCACCCAATGGTGCATTGCAGGGAGGTCACTGTCTCGTCTAGAGGCTGTGGTAGAGGAGTTGAAGCAACTCTGCCCGAATCGAGTGGCACCAGGTATGACTTTGCCGTCGATTGTGATTACCCCGATCGAATCTGACATCCACAAAGATATTGAGATCATAGAGCTCAATCCTTCGAGCCTCGACCATTTGATACAGAGAACTAGGGTGGTGATCAACGGGATTGGGCCATTCCATCGCTTCTCGACTCCAATTGTGGCATCATGTGCCACGCTCGGAACACACTATATTGACTTGTAAGTCAGCCTCTGCGCCTTGTGAACAATTCCCCAATCTCATAGTTTGCAGTACCACAGAGGTTTTGTGGATTCAAGAAGTGATTGAACGCTACGGCGAAGTTGCTCGGCAGAGCGGGTCACTGGTAAGTATAAATTCCGTTCATGAAACAAGGGCACTTGGAGCTAATAGTGAACAGCTGATACCCGGCTTGTCGACTTCGACCCCATCGGATATCATCGCATGGCTGATTGTAAACAAAATGCAAGAGGCATACTCTACCGGCACAGCTGAGATCATTAGTTCCGGAAATCTTGAGTATGGTCATTCGGCAGTCACTTTGGGCCATAAGCTGATTACTTTTTCCAGTATCAAAGCCATGACCGCTGGCTCTCTAAACACAGTGCTTGACACGTTCGAGACGTATGGTTCTGGTTGGTACCTATATGGCGACTCGTCGATATTGTCTCGATCGCTTCAAAAACAGACACAGAAGATGTCATGGAGCTCGCGTCTCTTCGGCTTTCGACACACACAAGAGCTGGGTACTTTGGCAACGTCCTTCACAGGCCCCGGAAATCAGGCGTTTGTTTACCGCAGTGCTTCTCAGAGACCAGACCTCTACGGACCCGACTTTCACTTTGAAGAGTATCTCCCAGCAAATGGTGTACTGTCCGCTGTTTTCGTGCATCTCCTCATCAAAGCTTTCCTCATCCTCTTATCCATTCCGTTTATCCGTGGGCTCATGCGACGACTCGTATCGCGCATGGATCCAGCTCCCGATCTGGACAAGCTAAGGCATGTGGAGCGGGCGGAGTTTCGTGCTGTTGGAAACGGGAGTGAAGGGGCTGACCCAAGTATTTGGGCATCCTTTGTACAGAAAGGTGCGTTGTATGAGTTCACTGCGCTTGTCACCTGTGTCGGGGCAAAGGTACTGCTTGATCGGAAGATTAGTGCCGAAAGGGCGGGAAAGGACACTCGTGGGCATGGCGGAGTGGTCACACCATCATTCTTAGGGATGGAATATGTTGATCGGTTGAAAGATGCCGGGATCGAGATTGAAGTCGGATTGTTGTAAAGTAAGACTCGATGTTCCTGAACATCCATCGATGTTTGCTTTATCTACATTTATACCTTGAGGATTATGCTCTCATTCTATTTTTCAGTCTATAGTGCACGAGACTGATTTTCAAGCTTGTACCTTCTGCTGTACCTGTATTCCCAAGGTTCACAAACCAGGCTCACTATCTAAATAACTACAACTTGGTTAGTTCTAATATTTTTTTCTACTACTATTGACTCCCCATCCATATGCCTTAACAGTTCTTCTTTTAGTCTGCTATGTCTCTTGGTTTATAATTTGACTTGCGAATATCTCGACGCTGCAGTGGGGGTTTCCAGAGCAGGATGACTAAGCGACCATGTGATCCAGGGCCCGAGACATAGATAGCAACGCAGACACCTTTCCACCTTCACTTCTCAGCACCCTACTACTCCCAGTGACGACTCTGCTCTCACACCTGTTTCGCAAGCAGGGCTGTCGGTGCCCCTGTCCCCCGTGGCAGGGGCCCCTCCTCAATGCTTATCATCTCCCAACTTAGAATCCCTGGCAACCCGGAACTCCGAGTGCCGATAAGCGCATACATAGTGGGCTTGTCTATTCTAGGACTATCTATTTATACAACTACGAAACCCCATTACCTTGTTTAAAGTCAAAGATCTACAAATTCTAAGTCTTCCGTTATGTCTCACAAGGCCCATGATATTAACTGTGAGCGCCTGTTGGTAAGCAACCCTTTGAGAGCATATTGTCCTTGGACATATTTCTCATGTACCGAAAACAGATTACGGGTGTCACTGGCTATATTGGATTCAGAACACTCACAGTTGCCCTCGTAAGAGGATATCGTGTTCGCGCTGTCGTTCGAAGCGAACGTAATATCAACGAACTGAAAGATAAATGTACTATCATCGCACCGAGTCTTGATCGGGAACAACTCGAGTTTGCTGTCATTCCAAACTTTTTTGAATCAGATGCAATCTTCAAGTCACTTGAAGGGATTACTGCCATTATTCACCTTGCGTCACCGTTAGCAATCGAGGTAATTTATACATAACGAACTGGGTCTTTCTCGTGGCTTATATTCTTCGGTAGACCGACGATTATGATGTTGAAATCGTTAAGCCAGCTATCTCGATGGTGATTACTATTTTGGAAGCAGCCACTCGAATGGCATCAATTCGTCGGGTGATTTTAACATCTTCATGGATGCAATTCCTAACTCTTATTTTGATCTAGGAAGCTAACTCCTTCCACAGGCGTTACCCTGATTCCATTCGAATGGAATATCAACCCCGACAGCGAGCGACTATATTAGTCTTCTACCTCATCCATTCATAGTGGTATGCCAACTCATAATCTATTTCGATCTTCAGTGGACGATGTGAATACCAGTGTTACTGGTCCTTTCTCGACTGCAATGGAAGCCTACTGGGCATCCAAAGCTCTTGCACGAGTTGCCACTAAAGCATTTGTTGCCCATGAGCACCCAAACTTCGACTTTGTCAACCTCCTGCCCTCAGTGGTAATTGGACCAGACGATCGCCTGGACGCAGATCCGACTGCAACAGTCGACAGCCTCCTTCAGGGCACACGGGCAGCGGTTCTTGCACCAGCGCTAATATCCTCGCTCAACTCCTCGTTTCCCTATGTTGGCACGCCAGTTCATGTTGCCGATGTCGCGCGCGCACATGTTGATGCCGTAGACGCTGGTTTGGTTCCTGGAAATTTCGAGTATATTCTGTCTTCGGATACTCCAAACGGGGTGGTCTGGGATAGAGATGTTCAAGCTGTCTGTAAAAAGTTCTTTCCGAAAGAGGTGACGAGTAAAAGGTTGGCGCTCGAAGGGTCTTTGACGGCAATACAATGGAGGCTCAGTGCCCAGCAGACGGAGGAAACGTTTGGTTGGAAGTTTACCAGTTTTGAGGAAACCATGCGACAGCTTCTGTCGCAGTACTTGAAGCTCGAAGAAAGGTCGCGAAAGTGATTTTTAACGTGGTTTCGTGAGCTTTATTGAGGAACTTTTTAGTAATCGAACAAGGTACAATGAATCATTCGATGATCGACTTCAGTTGGAATTCTTTCAATTTATTCAGTCAGGATTAACCGAACTAAGCAAGTGATTATGTAAAGTACTTGATTAACTCGGACAACCCGGAATTCCGAGTTATTTTGAACTGCATCTCAATTCAACGCCCATCTCTTCTGCTCCTAAAGCAACCAAGTTCCGCAAACAAGCTCCGCAATTGAAATGAAATACACTGAGCAAAATTCCGACTGTCCATTTTGTGCCACCCAGTTCAGCCATCGTACGTCTGGATAGTTCCTCGTCTTGAGTCCGAAACTCACACCCCTATAGGATCGTCGCTTACCCGTCACCTGAAGAACAACTGTAATAAATCTCAATCGCAGTCTCTGAGACGCAAGTCCTGCCATCAGTGTGTTGCAAATAAAACGAAATGCAACCTGAAACGTCCTAGTTGCTCTCGGTGTTCCGTGAGAAGCATACCTTGTCAATATACCAACACAGATGCAACCGAGAGTCCGGAAGTCGAGAACAACGAGTACAGAATTAACCATGATGCCACAACTGTTTCTTTACCAGATACATCGCTGATGACCCAGCCACAAGAGTTACAATCAGTCTTCGATCCTAATTTATTTGATTCCTTTTTCACGGGTCTAAGTCCTTGGGATCTGACACAGCCCACGAGTCTTACCTCACGTTCTCCACGGGCAGCTACCCCGGAGTTCTTCTCTTTGAATAACAGCAGTGCATGCGACGCACCCGAGCTAATCCAAGGAACCCCTCCTCCAAATCCTCTGTCGGGTTCTCCGGCGGACACAAATTCAATAGCCCTAGCCAATCATAGCATGGAGCTGATCTTCCGAATTCTTCGGACTTGGCCAAAAATGCTCGCTGAGGAGTTTCAGCTTCCTCCTTTATTCCACTCTACTCATATTGCGCCAAATAAGACACTACCGTCGCCACTAGCGAACTGCATAACCTTGACGAAAATGTGGCATGGGCAATGCGAAGGCGCAGAAGACATGGTGCGAACAGCAATTTTAAAAGAACTAGACAGTGTCGTAGATAAGGTCAGTTTCTATCATTTTTCTTTATCCCTCCGTGGTTTTAACTAAACCGAAATCGTGTTGTAGTTCAGGAATCTCGACGAGACAACCCTGTTGGCAGCCCTACAAGCAGTGGTCATATACACGATCATTCTGATCTCCCCCTCAGCAAGGTCACCGCGCCCTCTGATTGACCGTAGCATCATATTGCGCAAAGTGGAACTCTTGGTTTGTCATGTTGTCCACGGAGGCATATTCCTCCAGGAAGAAAGAACACAAATGAGACCATCCTGGAAAGCCTGGGTACAAGTAACATCGAAGCGCCGTGCGATCCTTGCTCTGTATCTCCTTCACTGGGCATATTCTGTGTTGCATAAGGTGCCATGTTTTGACTGCAGAGACCTCGGCTTCATGCCTGCGCCAGCAGCAAAGGTGCTTTGGCAGGCGCAGACAGAACAAGAATGGAACACTAGTTATATCCATTGGATGTCGCGGTGGAGTGGTCGAGGATATCTGCAAGGTGAATTTGGTAAAATCAGACCAGGCGTTGTCATGGATTCGCGGGCAGAAAGGTGGTTGGAAGAAGCTGATGAATTTGGGTTCATCATGATATCGATTGGTATGTGGTGACTCAAAATGCGGTGAACGATAACTATATACTGACTCTTGCAGTCAACGCTACTGAGTTTGATGTCCCGGCGCTGAAGACATTAGCTTGTTGAGTCACGATGGAGACTGTACAAGACCAGATTCAAATCTTGCGAAGAGGACAATAGATATTCTTCAGCTCATTTGGCTTATTGTCGGTTTGAATCGTGTCAATGCAGCCCTGATATAGTTTCTTTGTAATCATGCGGAGAGCCAGAAATGAACCTGGTGGCCTGAGGCCAGACAAGCTCCTTTGTTTGTTTCTTACAGGAACTACACCCTCTTCTCCTCTTCTCCTCTTCTCATCTTCTGCTCTTCTGCTCTTCTGCTCTTCTCCATCACCAGACATGAATTCAGAGTTCTCTTTCCAATCTTTTCCGCCTCTATAATTACATATATCATTATCTTGTCGATGAGGTTAGCTAGCACATCCTGCTATGCGCTGAATGACGGCCCAAACGGTTGGCCTGGTGAGTCTACCAAATGCTAGAGTCCTTGATGGATGCAATTCTGATAAGAATGCTGAACAGTGTGGCCTTCAATTATCGGGCTGTTGAGGATGCATATGATGGGGCCGGCATTTTGATTTGCGCTAGCGAGGCGCTGAATGGGGTAATCGGGAGCCCTCCCCGGAGGTCTGCCTTCTCCTCCTCCGTATACGAGACATTTTTACCTCGACCATGAGACCTCTTCCCATCGAATCTCCATCCGTTACTCTTTTTGCGGCCTTTGCTTTATTTTCGCCGTCATGGATTCTGAGGCCGAGAGAATGAGCGGCACAGCCTCTGCCTGGATTATTGCAGTGAATCGCGATGAACGAGCAATGGAGGAGAGTGCAATTCGAACAAATTATTTTCGACGGTCAGCTCCTTCGTCGAAAACCACGCACAAGTGATGTCGATCCTTCTTCACTTCACAACAAGTGGCGTCAACAGTAGCCACCCTCCTATGGCTGGGCCTGTTGCTTCCACTGATCGCCCTACAACTTTCCTCCCTCATTGACGTTGTCGTCAGCGACCGTGATTCGATGGCGAAAGGTCGTCAAACTACAGCAGCCATCCAAAGTCTTCCGCTACAATGCCTTCTGCACTACGACCGCTAAACAAAGCATATCGAAGCAACGAACAAGTACGGCTAATGGGCCGGTGCTTTACCCGAGGAGGTATTCTTTTCATCAGTCTCCTAGCACTTCGCAAGCAAGGAAGCAACATCTTTGGCATCGTCGAGGCCAAGAAGAGATCTCGGTACAAAGATATGGAGAAAATCATGATACAGGAGACATGCCAGAGAAAATCCTTTTTCTCTAAGATATGTAATTCATCTATATTTTTCCTGCACCGGGCAACAAATCAGGCATGGAAACGTTGCCTATCATGCCAAAACCAAGAACGGGTTCATAAAGTGCCCGAAAATGAAGCTGCATGGTCTTTTGCACTAGAACGAACCATTTAAAGATGGAAATTATTCTCTTCTCCTTTCATTAAGCATTTGAGGGGGAGATTGAGATTCCCTGTCGGTCCTACCGACAGATAGATTGTCAACAGTCTGATGGGGCTCTCATCATAGGGCATGGGTCTCTTCTTTGCCTCCCAAAGTGAGCATATTTAGCAATATATCTACGCGTGACAACGGAGATCCTTCAAGCCCCCTCTACATTCAATGTGGGATCGTCTAAGAAAGCTTCTTTTGCAACTCACCCTCTAGAGTATGTTGGGAGCTCAAGATCGCTTTCAACAAGCCATTTGGCAAGTACTTGGAGGCCGTGAATCTTTGTTCCGCCGACTTTGAGTGCTGTATTATGTCTTGACTTGGGTGGGCGATGGGCTTAAGCTCCCGATATACTTTACAGGGTGCTTTGCGCATGAAGTTCCTCTAAACGATCTTTCATTCAATGTAGGGTTTTGTGGCCTTTTTTTCTACAACCATGCTATTGTCATAGCCTTGGGTGGCAGGCTTTATCCTGCAAGTTAGTTTATTCTCACAAATTTCAATTGAAGCAACGAAAAGCTACCATCATATGAAACCATTGACAGGGCGTAGTTAAAAGAATAACAGTGAAACAAAACGAACTAGCTAAACACACCTAACCTAAGATGTCATCAAAAACAGGTTCCAGTCTAGCAAGTGACGTCTTGTACAATCTGGGTAGACCAGTATCCTCAAACGCGACCGAGCTTTGCGCCATATCCGCAACAGCCTTACCAGACAAGAATGCCACAGGCATACCATGGCCATTGAATCCCGCCGCGATAAACTGTCCCGGTTTACCCGGAATACTGCCAACATGAGGCAACGAGTCTGCGCTGTATCCCATGACTATAAGTGAGATGAAGGTTAGTAGAAGGAAAACAAGCCATCGTATACAAAAGAATCGCACATACCACCAGCCCAGATATGTTTGATCTCCGCTTCACTATCCTCCCACCCAAGGAATGTGCGTTGCATGTACCCATCAAAGTAATCCGCCGCAACCTTAATCAACTTCCCATCATCGGGGTTGTTATACCACTCTTCGCGATCATCTTTGAAAAGATGCGACGCTCCGCCGACAATGAGCGGCCCGTCGTTCCGGGAAATCTGATAAATATACCCCTCCGGACCGATTCGGATACAATAAGTACCAGGCAGTTCCTGGTGAGGCGCACCAGGTGCCGCAGCAATCTGGCTGCAGATGCCCTTGCAGGGAATGATAGCTTTGGAATACTCCGGGGCTAAGGCGCTGGTGAACGCGTTGGTCGCGAGGATAATCTTGCGGGCGTTAATGACCCCACGACTGGTAGTTACCCGCCAGGATCCATCTGCGTTTGGCGTCTCTCCGATTTCGGATACCGGTGTATTGGTCTGCAAATTCAGGCCGTGGGAAACGGCAGTACGAATAAGATGGGCAACGAGTTTGTAAGGCCAAAGATGGCCTGTTGGGAAACTGAAGCCTCCCTTGGCATCTCGGACATGCGCTATCTTAACGCAAATATCGTCAGAGATAACGAGAATGGAAATGGTAGCCTGAAAGCCCTATCAACTTACATCCTGGGTCTCGGCTTGAGACAAGTATTTAACATCATTCATAAAGTCCAGTCCCTGGTCAACCAGAAAATCGTAGAAGGCTTTCGCCTTCTTAAGCTGGTCTTCATCAAGATACATATCATAAGAGCGGGTAAAAGTCAGTTCGCAATCAATGTTCTCTTTACGGACCAGCTCTTCCATGATCTTCAAATGCGAGATTTCGAACCGCACGATCTCTGCTGCTGCTTCGATGCCATAGCGCTCGGTGAACAGGGCCGTTGCTGAATATATATCTGGTCTCAAGTGGCCACCTATGCAAACATTGAGTGAGCTGGACTTGTATACATAACTCATACTATGCGTGATGTGTGGGTCTTACCATTGCGCCCGGTGGCACCGGAGCAAAGCTCCCGAGCCTCGACCAACACCACCCGAGGGGTTGGATTTTGCGGGTTCTCTGCAAGCAAACGATAAGCGGCCGAGGCTCCGACATAGCCGCCGCCGATAATTAGGATGTCGGCTTCTTTTGGTAGTTCTGTTGTAGTTTGGTGGTTGTCGAGTGGATCTGGTTTTGTCCGCCAAAATGATTGGGTATACCCCGCTGCTGGGCGAGGGAAGCATTTTGCGTTGGAGTTGGATGTCATGATGTTTAATTGTCAAATAGTAGTTTACGATGCGATTCGAACTCCAGGGATATGCAAATGTGAATACAAGTGCAATGCGAAACAAGAAAAGTGGGCGTCCACGGGTGGTATAGCAAGGCGTTATCGGAGTTGGGCGCGCAGCCTATCGCAGAGGAGACCGAACTATGCGGGGCTGGAAATGAAGCTGATTGTGCGACTTTGATCTGTACATGTATTCTTGAAACTCATGATATTGCTAATTCTCCGCTATGTTCACCTCTGGGAACCTGCTCGATTCGGATTCGTTGAGCTGGCAGTATTTCCAGGCTGCCGTTGTTGATCTTCAAATGCCTCGATAACATCAATGCAGCTCGATTGGGCCTTGCCTGATTGTCTGGCCAGATATTCAGACTCTGTCAATCGAGCTTTCAGAAGTTGATTCCGAGTCTTGGAATGCATAGCTGAATGCAAGCTTTTGGCTAAGCCCTGTCCCGGATAGGCTATTAAGCCCAAAGCGCCTAGCGATGATCCATTAGCGTACTCCCGCTAGTGGTGTAAATGTGCATCACAAACCTGATGCAGCTTTCGTGCCCATTCCAATAGGACCTTGAACAAATCCTCTGATTGCACCCATGAAACCATCTTTCTGGGCACCCTCGTAGGGCTGCCGGAAGATATCAGCGAATCCAGTTGTGAACCCATTCCGAAAGTTATCGGAAGCCGCAGCTACTCCAGACTTAAAGTCTCGGATGTTGTCGTAGTCTTTCACCTCCTCGCCATAGAGCCTAGGAACAGCTCTCAGGCCTTCATTCACTGCTCCAGGTATGTCTACCAAAACGCCCTTGTAGTAGTAGGCTATGATCCTCCCAACGCTTTTGGCGGAACCCCCCAGTGCCTTTCCTGCAACTATCCAGTCTTCATCTGTCTGGTTGGTTCCGGGAGTTCGTGAGATACCTTCGGATGGACTTTTCTCGGATTGATTTGTAGGCTCGATGACTACAAGCTCTGGCTGACTCTGCTGATGGGCACGAGTGATCTCTTTGTAGGGCCGAATGACGACGTCGCTTGATGCTGTGAGGATATCCTTATACATGCCTAGCACAGACGATGTGCCGCCCGTGATAGGATCCCATCGCCGGGTCATAATGAATATAGTTTTTGTCTCATATCTAGTTCAAAATGTGTATTAGTATAGGTATATTGAATAGGATGGTTGGATATATGGTCTCACGCTTTCAAGTCCCTTGTATCAATGCGAGAATTCTCAAGCAAGATCCCCGCTGCCATTTTCGACAAATTTATAGGGGTCTTTCCGTTCTGTTTTAACTGCCAAACAGCCGGCTCGGAATCAAGAAACTGGCATTTCATTTTATCGATCGGTAAGTTGCGATGGAAAGATGCAACAGCCGCAGAGACTCCAGCTTCCTCGGTCATCTCACGAGCAAGATCACCGGCTGCTGTTAGGGTATCAGGATGCAGGCAAAAACGGATGGCTTCCGCTAGATTATCTGCGTTTAAAGTCCGGTGTGGAATGGGAATTGGTCCAACCCCACGGGACGCGACCATGTTTCCCCAGAATAGCTGACTGTGATAAGTTAGCAAAGAGATAGGAAAAGCCTACAGGAATGACATACTCTCCAAAGAATGGTACAATAAGAGAGGGTCTTCCAAATCGTAAACCACATGCTGTAGTCCCTGCTCCTCCATGATGTACAACTGCAGCGACCTTCTGGAACAGCCATTCGTGCGGACAGTCCCCAAGATAAAAGATCTGATCGTCCGATTCTTCTTCGCCGAGCTTACTCCAGCCACGGGATATAATTGCACGTCCACCCCAGGACCTGACTGCCTTGACAAGTGTAGCAGTCATGGCTGGGGGATCCTCAATAACAATGCTGCCAAATCCAATATACACCGGCGGAGGCCCGCTTTGGAGAAACGCAGCAAGGTCTGCAGGTGGTGTGAAGTCCGGGGGAGCGCGGAAGAAGAAGCCACAAACGTCGATATGTGCCGGCCAGTCCGTTGGTTTAGGCATCAATGTAGGGGACCAGCAATACGTGAATGGTATCTTCAAAGTCTCTGCTAAACGGGGACCTTCGGTGAGCGATATAGCTTCTAGGTCGATGGATTTTCTCCAATCATTGATAACATCGCCCAGGCTGTTTGAGGTAAGCCTATTGAATCAAGTATAGCAGGGATGTATCTGGTTGTTACCCTTGCCATGTCAGCCATTCGACAATCCCGTAAGAAAGGTAATTCGCCATTTTCGGCTCTGTGGTTGAATATTTCAAGTTTGCTAAGGGATGAGGAAATGATCTTGTACTGGTCCACGGCATGGTAAACATCATATGTAGAGGGATGCCAAGCGCCTGAGCGCAGTGGATATGAGCGAAGCTTGGAGGGTTCGCAATGATAGCATCAGCGACAAAGGGCGTCTTAGTCACGGAGTCATCCTCAATACATGACCGCCAGCATCCCTGGAGAATTTCGCCGACCATGACACGCTTGCGTTGGATATCACCCTCTTGGATGGATTTCATCTGTGGTATCAAGCCTGGGTTCTTCACCATGTATGCCATCAGCTCCGAGGGATCTCCCCCAATAGAATAAAATTCTAGACCAGAGTCGCGCACGAAGCTCTCAAATACACCATGTGTGGCTAGTCGTACGCGATGTCCATGGCGCTGAAGCTCGTTGCCTAGTGCGACAAAGGGCTGGACGTCGCCTCGGCTGCCAACAACTTGGATAACGATGTTGAGTTCAAGGCCACATTCAAAATCACCCGACGGCTCTGGCTGTGGTTGTAAATGCTCCGCATGTAGAAATGGTATCAACTTTGACACTTCCCTGCCCACTTTGGAGTCGAGATCGATATCAATTCGACCATCATCTTTGTGAAATTAGCAAGATATTCTTGTGAATAAGACAGAGATATAAGGCCGCTCCTACCCTTGACTTTTGTCCCATCCTGAGTAAATTGGTTACGTTCAAGCCTAGAAGGCCGGCGCGGTGGTTCTTCCATCGTTGCAGCCCGATGACATCACACACGGGAGAGCTATCCGATATAGAATTTCGTCAAGAAGACAGATTTGAGGTAGGTATTTCCAAAACCCTGTGAAGCATCCAATATTTTCAAACAGAAAACAGTATGAAGAGGAGTAGTCCCAAAACAAATGAAGACCATGGTACCTAGGTGGTTCTGGGCCGCGTGGGACGGGTGGACCCCTGACCGTTGATCCCACGTGACGGCTAATATCAGCCAATCATAGGCTGTCTTACAGCAGCTATATGACGTCATTCCTACAACATTGGGGAGTGCCCAAGTCAAGGCCTACGACTTCAATCTTTCTTGCCAAGCAGGTTTAGAAACTGTTTAGAATAGGTTATTAGAGATTTCTCGGACGGGAATGGGGCAAGGAGCAAAAAGTCAATACTATGAATTTGCGTTCATTCTGTAAGTTGTAGCTTTGTGTTTTGACTTAGGGAGCCTGTTCATCTCTTTCAGAATAACATATCTAATAATACCCAAAGATCAACCCTCTTAAAAGATTAGCATGGCTTGTACCACTACCGCCAAAGCCAGGTTAGTGGGAACTGAGGATTATGAGTGGAGAGCTACGAAATTGGAGTCAGTGTTAAGAACATCCCACACCGGTCCATCCAGAGTCAACTGCACATCGACGGCGCACGGAAGATTGTCCGGAGCCAAAGAGCGTCTGGTACGCTGGCCTCGAGGCAGCTCCTCCTCGGTAGACATGATGATTGCCAAACCGTCAACCCGATAACCTTCACTAAACGCCGGCGACACCAGAGAAGGGGCAATGCGCTTGGCATCGACAGTAACATCAAAGTCAACCCCAGCGTATGTCTTGCCCCTACTCCACTGTGTAGCAACGAGGCAACCACGTGGGACTTTCTCCTTGAACCTGATGTGACGTTTGTTGGGTTGTGCGGCAACCCATTCGAACTGCTGCTTGACTTTGTTCATATCAACCGAGTGAATTGCATCATGAATAAGCTGGGCAACCTCCCAGAGCGCGCCTTTTTCGAGTAGTTCATGGGAGGCGGAAGCCGAGGGGCAGTAGACGGCATTCGGAAAGTAGCGTGCGGGAAGCTTCAAACGAGCGGAGTCGCGCATGTCCATGGTTGTCCAAAAGCCGCGAAGTGGCTCAAGCGATTTGGCGTCTGGCGTGAGTCCCTTGTTACGCAAAACCTGAAGTCTTGCTTGATAAATGCGTTGGTAGAGATAGGCTGAGATGAGCTCGAACCTTGTGAACGAGGTCGGTTCCTGGGCGTTGCGGTCGGTTGCAGCATTCTTGATTGCAATCAGCTCTTGACCTTGGAAGCGCAGAGGATAACTGCTGACAGAGGGAGGGTCTGCCTCAGATATGTCCGTGGCTTTCTCGTCCAGACAATAGTCCACAGGTTTGAAAGCAAGGGCTTTCTCCTTCTGGCTGGCGGATAGGCTGTTCGTTCCTCTAAAATAAGAGAAGATCTCAGGGGGAGAGATGAGTGTTGGCGGAGAAGAGTCGCGCAATTGTCTGTAGATCTCGGCCAAATCACGCACAAGCTGCATAAACCCAGTGGCATCGCAGACCTGATGGTGAACTCGAATACCCAGTGCAACCCCTCCGCAGCCGAATCGAGTGTGCTGGATGGCGAAGATAGGATTGTGGGAGACAGCGCCCATTGTCGAATGAAAAATTGGAAGAACTGCATTCCCAGAATCTGGCAGAAAAGTTACCAAGATACGGGCTGAAAAAGCAGAAACTGCAATACTCGAGAGCCTCCTGGGGCACTGCGCCTCCCAAAGCTCAGCGCCAGCACCCAGGCTACCAATCTCTAGAGCTTGGCTGACTGAGTTCTGCTGCAGACGGCCAGTCAAATGCGGGTAATAGTCCAGGAGGTGCGATGCAGCCACCTTCAAGCGCTCGATCGTAAGAAAATTGTCGCCTACAAATTTTGCTGGCTTTCTGTATACGAAGATGCCTTCGATCGTCAACATAGCCGGCACGATATGGTCCATTGGTCCTAGACTAAAAGGGGACTCGAGCGCGGCAACTGTGGCCTCATTGGCGCAGTTAAGCGTGTGCCGCGTAGAAACGCGGACTTGATCCAGTGGCATCGCTGTGATTGGACGAAGCAGAGACAGGATAGCGGGGGAATCAAGATGGATAAACACGTAGAAGAGTTGACAACGATGAAATATGACGAGGATAAAAGGGGATGTAGATGAAGGGGAGGTAAAAGAGTGAAAGTTTGTGCTGCTTGAAAGCAATGGGGAGGGAATCTTTGCCGCGTTGTTAGGATGATAAACTAATTTGTCCCCCTCCGAGTGAACAAAATTAACTACAAAGACACCCGGGGAGCAACTGGCCACGGTTTATTCTATATAAACTGTCAAATAAATTTAAAAAAAAAATAGAATCAAAGAAAGCAGTCAAGGAAAGGAATCCGGGGGTGACGCAAATATATATCGAACAAAGAAGTGGACCCGTAGATGACTTTCCGACCTTTACAAAGACAACGCAGATTAGTATCTCAGGGAGCTGAATAGCTTCTTGTACTGTGGCCATGTCAATTGGATCGTCTATTTGGGATTAAGGAAGGTGCGTGGGAACTGTCGCACTTTAGGAAGGCAGGTGGGTTGGGGGTATAAAAGGGCCCTCCCCCCAACTCTTCTTCTCTTCTTCTTCTATTCTCCCCATCCCTCTCAGCCACCATCTCTCCGTAGCCCCCATGAGACAGCGCAGGCAGAGGGTCCTGTTGCACGTGCTGCTTCACCTACCACAGGGACCATAACATTACCATGTTTGTTATGGGGTCCATGTAGGTCTGCACCACACATCAAACCGGGCTTTCTCGTGGACGTTCCTGAAGTCGTGGCTCTCATTGCCACTTGACGAGTCCTACGGAATACATGAGGGGTGGGGATGGCTGTAGCCGAAGATGCGTATTCTACCTAGATTGTCTATTCTTATCCAATGATACCTGAAGCGTGAAGGGGACAAATTGTCACATAGCTGGGAGATATTCTGTTGAAGATACCACAATGCAACTCTGGAGAGTATTGGAACGTCTCATCAGTGCTACCATATTCTTACATAGTAATCCCTGAAGAATGAATGTGCTCTAATATCCAAAGATCTTGTGTCTGATTCTCTCACACCGATAGTAGCTCACATAAGCTTTGCGTAGACAAGACATCAAGCCTCCAAAACACTCTGGGGTGCATAAGATGGAACTACATCTCTGTACTAGTATGTGACCGTTGAATGCTCGGGGCGGCTCCGACCAAGAGACCCACTTTTAGGCGGCTCCGATGTGGGGACCATATCTACTTGGGTATCAAATGTTCTAAATATTTAAAAGCTTCATCTTATCTTACTTCAATCTCAATTTATCACACTCTATTCCTTTGCTGTTTGAATAGAACTCTACGATGGCCAATCCCTCAATCGTCATTGTACCCGGCGCATGGCACCGACCTGCGCACTACCAGCACCTCATCGAGGAGCTCGCAAAGGTCAACTACGATGCAGAGGCCGTGACTTTGCCTTCGGTGGACTCCAATCCCCCACTGGCCACCTGGAATGAAGACGCGCAAGCTGTCCGACAAGTTATTATGAGCAAACTGGATGCTGGAAAGGATGTCATCGTGCTCGCACATTCATTTGGCGGCGTCGCCATGTCCGAGGCAGCAAAGGGTCTAGGAAAGAAGGACAGAGTCGCACAGGGTTTGAAAAGCGGGATTATCAAGCTGATCTACATGTGTGCAATGGCGTTGCCGAAAGGCCAAACCCATGTCGGCCAGTTGGTCCCGCAGACGCCCGAGGAAGAAGAGATGGAGCGTCAGAGCAAGGAGATGGAGAAAAAGCTCGGTGGACTAGATGTGTCACCGGTATGGACTCGAGTTTTTGCTTATATATCTTCAATGCTAATCTGTCCCCAGGATGGAGCAATCAGCCTCCCGAAGGACCGTATCCACCTCGTGTTTTATAACCGTTGCGAGCAGAAGGATATCGATAGGGCTGTGGAGTTGCTCGGCACATTCCCCACGGGCCCGTTGACTGTTCCTGCCACATACACCGCGTATCGTGAGATCCCGAGCACGTACATTGTCTGCAAAAATGACCAGGCATTGCGGGAACCGTTCCAGCGGAGGATGATTGCACAAGGCGAAGGCTGTTTTGACGTGGAGGAATGTGACGAGGGCCATTCCCCATTTATGAGTAACCCGGGCTTCATCATCGATTGTATTCGGAGGGCAGCCGGAGAGAAGGTTTAGGCATGCGAAGACGTTGACTATGCCTTGTCGCCTCTATGTGCCTGGAGTTTTCCAGTAACATCCTTGGACCTGGGAAGCGCACCATATTTGAAATTCTTGTGTTTTATATGACGATTCTCCTCTCTTTCAAATCTATTTGAATCTAGAATTTAACGGTTGCCTCATTTAAGGCATAATCAGGCATCAGTCGTGGCGCGGAACGGAAAATCAATCCAGCCGCGTCGGAAATAACCCGATCCAGCGGACACCTCGTCTTGTAGTTATCATGTAGACACGGAATGCCGGGAGACCTCAATTCTCCCAAGGCGTCAACATCTCCCGTGAATCCCCCGCGGCGCCAAAACACAAGTTGTGATTCATGCCGGCGTTCCAAGCGGCGATGTGTTGTGCAGTCGGATCCAGACGGCATTCCCAATGCGATATGCACGAATTGCCAGCGTTTGAGACGCCAATGTACGTTTGAATTTGCTATAGCCCATTCCAGTATTCCTTTCTCGCGAAAACGACAGAAGCGCAACTGCGAGGAAACCAGTGGGCCAACAACGCAAAATGAATCGAACGACTTCGATACAACAATCGAGGAAATCACTGGAAGCTCGATCAATCGATTCGATGCTGCATCTATTGCTGACCAAGATGTTATGGCGGCTTGGCTGAATCTTGATTATGATGAGATTGTCGCGGATACCGCCAACTCCTTTTCAACCAACCTCGAACCTTCTAATTCATTCGATGCGCTTCGTTCTGGGTACATAGTGCCAGCAGAGTGCGAGTGCGAGGGTCAGCTTACGGCTACCACATCCCAACTGACTCGCTTACATCGAGGACAAAATCTCGAATCAGATAATCACCGGCCAACAATTGGGCTTTCACTCAACAGTCCCATCTACCTGCTGAATTCTGGAATAGACGCGAAGATCTTTGGTGATCGTCTCGCCCGGATCTATGAAGCAATCGCAACAGCCAGTGCATCCAGATTTTTGGACTACGACTGCAATCTCTATGCGACTGGCAGTCGCTACCGGTTGGGGGACAATGACTCAGGGAGCTCAAATGGATCCGAAACTGCCAGGCCAACCGTTGATGTAACCGCTATCTCACCACGGCTTGATCTTTCAGTATCATCGCAAGCAATGTCTCATGAAATTTCCTTGATAGGAAGTGTTCGGTTCCTTGATCATTTGGGCGGTCTTTATGGCAATCGACTGGACTCGGCTGCTCGGAAGAAATCAGATGACGCCTTCAAGGCTGTCCTTCGCGCATTCTCGATGCAATGGTTACCGAGCTCATCTTCGTTTGAAGCGGGCTCTCCTTATGATCACTTTGCTCGGAATTCAGAGGCGGGAGATGACTCTGCCTTGAACGCCTTCACTGATGCTTGGGTGCGGGCAAGATCACTCCTCAACGATGCGCACGACGTTCGGTCATTTCGAGTTGTATTGGCAACACTCATGTTCGTTGGGATCGTTATACCAACTAAAATAACTGATAGAGAGGATCTCGTACCGAACGACTTCCTTGACACAGCTCTGCAAAAGTTATCCTATTTAGATGGACTTGTTACGCAATACTGTGCGAACCTAGGGCCGTCATCTACATATGGAGCTCTTGCTGAAGCAAGCTTAAGCATTGTCCGATGGACCGCGTATATCCGCGACACAGGCGCAGCGTTGGCGATGGATCGGCAATGCAAACTTCCAGATCTGTGGGGTTCTACAAAAGGTTAGTATTCTCCGCATGGGGAATCTCAAATTCAGGCAACTAAACAAATCCGCATAGTCCTCTCAAATAAAGAGGCCGTGGCAGCATTGGCAGTCTCTCAAAATATCTTAGAATTGGATATCAATGTCCAACCCATTTGCCGGAAAGCAAGTGCGGAAATATTTTGTGTCTGGAGGCAGATCATAAGCATCAAAACCGTTGCTAACCAGTGGCATGTTACTGTCAATGAACGGTCCTCGTCGATCATTGAGGCAATAAACTTGAGTGTGGCAGCTGTCCGTGACTTCAGCCAATCATTCCAACCTTTCATCTCTCAGTGCATCAGGAAGTTCGATTGTCTGTCCACGTCTCCCAGGATATCTCTTGGTAAGCTATACTCCTACCATCCCTGACTCGTCGTTCTCTCGTAATGCTATCATCGGCATCCCACTGACAGTTTATGCCCTAGTTTCCCTAGTGATGTTCTGGAACCTTGGCATTTTCCTGTTTGCCGAAGTATTCAAAAACGTGGTCAAAGACCTTGATCGCTCCATCCAACAAGAATCAGGCCCAACCGTCCGGGAATACCAGCGCGAGGCAGCCTCGTGTGTGGCACAGGCAGTTGAATGCGTACTCAACTTGCCTGCCGAGGAAGCTTTCAACCTCCAGAATGGACTCGGCGCCGAAGTCCCAATCATCGCTTATCATGTCACACCGAGTTTGGCTGTCACGGCTCTTCAACGGGCCATTGAGAGTGTGATAGACCTCCAACTTCACCCTCGTTCTGACGCTGATTTATCAGACGACGCGCAGTTTTTGATACCGGATGGGATCTGGGACCGACAAATTGACATTCTCATGAAAGGACTCATGTCGCTTGATGTTACTATTGGCGGATCACAGACTAGTGGTTTGGCTGTTAGAGGGTTAATGCACAAACACGGGGACATAATATCCGAGTGCTGGACTTCGGGGTTTGACTCATGACATGCAAACGTGGTGGATTCAGCGGACGGGAATTGGTCGATGGCAAAGCCAAGCACATCCCGTCGATATTCTTAGGATACGAGAGGATGCTCAAGCCTGGTTGGCCCCGGCCTGGCTCAATTTCAAAGGTGGCCCTCGAATCTTCATCGGCCATCAGTTTGTACTGGCTGTATTCACTGTTACTACTAGTAATATGTAACAGATTGGAATGATCGGGCGTTCATGTGGAACTGGCAAACTGGTAAGTAATCGATGTCGTCATCCATGGATGGGTGCAACACAAACGTGCAGGACTTTGGCGGCTGCAGTCATTTCACTGGCGATTGGAAGTTCAGAGTCATTAGTGCAGACACGTCTTTGGAGCCCTACACGTGTATACGGAATGTTATATTATACCTTAGTCCTTTATGACGTGATTCAGAATTTGTCGTGAACATTGCCAACATCGGACAACTCTCCTCTACGGGTGGACTAGGCGCCCCACCGCCTCACCCGCGTGCAAACCCCCGAGATTTCCTCCTAGCTGTGATAGGTCAGTAATAAATTGGCCATTATTTAGACTTTTGAGGCTTGCGCCAGACTGTGGAGAATGAAATCTCTTTTCCAACCATCAAGGTGAAAAGTGTATAGCCAAGAACTGAACCATTTTTTCATGGCCCCCAACGTGCCAAAGTACCCTCCAATCATGTGGACAGGCGATGGATAATGCTGCTGCCTTGCTGCTACATGGATGGCGCGTCTATGTTGTAGGAAAGCGAAACCAAGAAAAAAAGCTTTTAGAAACTTTGTCTAAGCCTTTCAATCGGCAAAGGATCTCTGGCATGAAGAATAAAATTAACATATTCTACGGTCCATAGCTTTTGGAACATAGGGAAGCACAATTTGTGTAGGTCAGAAGCAAGACGCTGATACAGGGATAAGAGTGAATCAGATCCAACCGACACATGTAACCTTCTTTCGAACATTCGGAGTTTCAAGGGAAAGCTTGTACATGCAGCCAAGCTCTCCCCAACGGTAGCCCAGTCTTGGTGATTTGAATTTATCTGATCGCAAATAAGGTTTAATCTGATCGAATTTATCAGATCCCTCAAGTTATCTGATCAAAAAATTATCTGATCACGCCACTCGGAGAAACCCTTGGAACCAGGCCCCCACAATCCATGGATGTTTCCTTCGGATGAGGAGTTCTATCTGAGACCTTACGAAGTCGGGGTCTCGGAGTAATTTCCCTGTATACTACCACAGCAAGGATTGTATATTAAAGGACCCACATGGTACAGGAAACGCCACCCTCGCTTACACAAATGGGAACGACCTAAATTTTAATATATTCGAAGGAAAGAGGTTAAAAAATACCCCCGCCTCTAACCATTCATTCCAGGATTCCACAAACTACCTGACACTTCCAAACTCATGGATACGGAGGACACGTCCACCGTCAAAGGGGCCACCACGGAGCACCCACAGCCCTTAGACACAGAGGAAACAGGTATTCCAGATGGCGAGATTCAGCAAGATGGTGTTCAGATTGCCGACGCAGTCACAACTACGTGGTCTCGCAAGCATCTGATTATTGCTTATACTAGGTGAGCAACTTTGCTTGCTGTAAGGTGTTCCCAAATGTCAGATTTAATGTGAATATAGTATGTGGCTGGTGTATTTCGTCAACAATCTCAACAGCAGTCTCACTGCAAACCTCTCCGCTTACATCACGAGTGACTTTTCGGAACACTCGCTGCTGACCGTGATTGCGGTGGTGACCAGCGTGATGGGTGCTGCATGTTTGATGCCCATCGCCAAAGTCCTGAACCTTTTTGATCGAACTGTTGGATTCGTGATCATGATCTTGATTGCAATTATGGGGTTGATCATGATGGCTGGTTGTAACAATATTGCGACCTACTGTGCTGCACAGGTGGGTTTACATCATCTATACCCTTTACAGCGCTATGTCAAGATCACTAATGAAATAGGCATTTTATACTGTCGGATTCACCGGTGCTATTTTCTGCATTGACGTGATAACCTCAGACACCTCATCCCTTCGTGATCGAGGTCTTGCCTATGCTTTCACCTCCTCTCCTAGCATGATCACAGCCTTTGCTGGCTCTCCCTTATCAAACCAATTCCACGAAACCAATTGGCGATGGGCGTATGGCACGATTTGCATCATTCTCCCTATCGCTGCGTTTCCCCTGATTTTGACCTGGGAAATGGCCAAACGAAAGGCCGACAAGAAAGGCCAATTACAATACAAGCAGAGGACAATACGAACCTGGACAGAAAGCATTTGGTATTACACTATGGAATTTGATGGTTAGTTACGCTCTCAAATCGACTCCTTGCATCTTTACTCACCCTGTTTCGACACAGTCGTTGGGATCTTCCTAATGATAGGCGGCACGATTCTTTTCCTGACATCTTTCAATATCGCCGGCAACACCGAAGGCCAATGGCAATCGCCCAAGATCATTGCTATGATGGTAGTGGGATTCTGTGTTCTCGTGGCATTCGTCGGTTACGAGCGATGGCTGGCTCCGAAGCCCTTCATCCCATTCTATCTACTCACCGATCGCACTGTCATTGGCGCATGTCTACTCGATATCACCTACCAGGTCTCCTATTATTGCTGGGCCAGCTATTTTACCTCCTACCTACAAGTCGTCTACAACACAAGCCTGATGCAAGCCGGTTACATCAGCGCCATTTTCGATTTCATGGACCCGATTTGGCTGATTGGCTGTGGCTTTCTCATCCGACACACCGGTCGCTTCAAGTGGCTGCTCTGCTGCGCCTTGCCTCTTTATCTCCTAGCAAGCGGTCTGATGATCTACTTCCGCCAGCCGGGTCACAATATAGGATATATGTGCATGTGCCAAATCTTCCTCGCTGTGGGTGGCGGAACATTTATTCTGATCGAGCAGGTTTCTGTTCTTGCTGCGGCCTCGCATGAAGACTATGCCGCCATGTTGGCGCTTCTCAGCACGTTTGGGAATATCGGTGGCGCGGTGGGCAGTAGTGTTTCCGGCGCCATCTGGACGAATACACTCCCCGGCAAGCTACGCCAGAATCTGCCTGCCGAGTTGAAGGACCAGTGGGAGGATATATACGAGTCGTTGGACGTACAGCTCAGTTATGCGGTTGGTTCGCCTGCTCGTATTGCTATCCAGAATGCGTATGCATTCAGCCAGCGAAACATGATGATTGCCGGTACTGCGGTGATGGGACTTTCAATTATCTGGGTGCTTATGATGAGGAACATTAAAGTACAGTCTAACAAGGATCTTTCCAAGGTCCTTTTCTAGATAGAGGGCCGAATACGGGGCTCGGAAGAAGATACATAGACTGGTTGAGAACAGACTTTCTTTCTCAAACCGATCCAATCCATCATGGATCGAACCCGGTTCAGGGTAGCTGGAATTAATTGGTTACGGTATTCTACACATATTGCAACTTTAAGATGCCTTTCACACATTTTCAACCAGCGGATCATTATGATATGAAAATTTCTCACTTCTAGTCCTGGGAGACCATCAAGATGCCGACAAACGCACCATGAACTTAACACTCGTACATCGGCACTCAAAATCAGCTTGAATTACCGAGCTTGCACATTAAACAGTGACTAACGTGGGTTTCTACAGACTAGTCGATTTGAATTGCTGTAGGCTCCATAAATCAAGATTCCCATCAACACTTCTTCATAGCTATGAGGATCTAAAGACTAGTATCGACTCTACTCGGCCCTCAATTTTCGAGAAATACTCCATGACTCCGTACAAACCCTCATTACTCACCTCCACTTTCACCTGAACTTCCTGGGTACGTAGATGTCCTTGCTTTTTGTTCTTCGTGTTGTTGTCAAATTTGGTATGTGGGAAACTTTGGATAGAAAACATGAGCTCGAGAGATGTTTGTCTGCCAAGGGGGTAGATACATCGGAAACCAGTATTGTCAATATTCTGCTATGTCATTTTTGATATAAGCTTCACTCTCACATAAATTCATCCGTTATCTTGATCTCTTTCAGCTTGCGAGGCCTTTTAGGCAACCTCCCTATATGCCCATCATGTTCCTTGTTGTAGCCAGCCTGGTATTTCCGAACACACAAGTACTCTAGCCCAGGTGGTAAGCAGTTTACCAATCTAAACCTTTTCCTCTCCTTGTAAGGCCCACTGCGAACACCAGCGGCGAAGTATAACAGAAAGTCTATATCCAAGCTCACCCGTTTTAGGGCCACAAATTCTTTCAGTGACCCAGCTTGTGTCCATATCAATTGATAGAATTCACGTTCTGCGTCCCTGATTCCGCGTTCAAATGGACCCCCGTGTCGATTGAAATGATCGTCTCCCGCTTCTCCCCCTCCGATGTCTTCCTCGTCGAATGGATCAATCTCATATGTCAAGCTAACATCAAGGATCTCCAGTGTCTTCTTGTGTGCACAAAGCGCTTTTATAAATGCTTTGGGGCTGACGATAGAGACGCTGCCACACATTCTCGCCGTGAAATTCGTAAGTACCTTGCAAGACCATATCAGATTCGCAAAGTAGAGAGAGCTAGCTGCCGTATAAGAGAGGGAGATCTTGCTGATATTAGAACTTTTTTCTTTGAATTCAAGTTTTCCATCATCACCCTCCTTGTCTCCATGACTGCGGACGGACTCAATTGACGGGAGAGTGTCAAATAGCCTCAAGCAGCGTTCAAAGTCCAATGAGAAATGAAAACCAGCATAATGTGGAACAGTTGTCTCGGAGAGGTGGAGACTACGAAGATTGCGAAGATATGACTTGTTTTCGGGACTGGCATTAGCTTGGCGAAGGAGCTTGACAAGCGGGAAGTCCATTATATTGTCGTAGCTCCGGCCACGGGGTTGGTCCACTTTCATCGTCACAATATTCGGCGATACCACAATCAGAATGGTGACCAAGGCTTGGATGATGAATGCATCACTGCCGACATTGCGTCTGTCCACCTGATTAGATGGTCACTCGGAGACGAGGATCGAATGAGATTCTCACCCATGAACTTTTGCTCTTTTTGTCATAAGCATATTGACCACTCGATCCTCTTGTAGGCTTGTAAATCCGCCAGTTCTGAGCGCTTTCCGCACGAGACCTATCTCCTCGCTGCTCAAATCCCGTTGGAATTTGACTTCCTTGTTGTCCGTATTGGCTGAGGTATATCTGTTGCTTAACGGTCTGGTGGAATCGGCTTTGCGCACGTAATGACCCAAAATAGGTCGTTTCAAGATATCCATAATCATGGCTAATGGCTTGTCGGTATTTTCTGAGCAGATTTGAATTCGGTAATACTTCCCGCGCGCTACCATATCGCACAGAGAGTGAAGAGTTCGACATTGTCTTGATAGAGCAGCCACGTCATAGATTGAAAGAAGGTATGAGATAATCCGATAGAGAACCTCGAGGGGTAGACTGAGAAATGACATGGCTTCTGCACTGTCAATGTGGAAAGGGGGAAGGGGGAAGGGGGTTATTTGAACTACATTTGCACGGCTTTGTCTGTCCTGGGAAGGAGGCTATTACCTGGGATTTGTCTTGGCGTTTTTAGAATTTCAGTTGACAACAAAGAAGACAAAGAGAATGACGAAAAACAAATTTGTCATGTCGTGATGGCCCAAAATCTGTCGTTGGCCCCGCTGGATCTCTCCGCGGAATGACTTTCCTATCCTGGTGCGCGGGGATGTATATTAAACTCCGGCCTGTCCAACTTGAACCATTTCTAACAACTTCAGTTTCAAAATGACTCAAATCTTCCTGTGAGTGGCTTTATTTCTGATAGAGCATGATCCATGCTTTGCTAACTCAAATTCTAGTACCGGTGCAACGGGCTACATTGGGGGCGCAGTCCTCCACGCTTTACAGCATATGCATCTAGATTACGAGGTTGCCGCCTTGATCAGAGATGAGGAAAAGGCCAGCAAAGTTTTGGCTGCATTTCCCAAGGTCCGTGTAGTCCTTGCGGATTTGGACAATGTGGAAATCATTGAGAAAGAATCACGCAAAGCCGATATTGTCATCCGTGGGTCAATTGACATCTGGTAGCCTAATGTATCACTAACCTTCTCCATTTAGACGCTGCTAGTAACAAGCATCTCGAAAGCGTGAAAGCGATCGCAAATGGCCTGGCCGGACGTCAGAATGGTATGTCGTCTACTGCTTCGATATCTTCTTTCGGGTTTGATCGTTAATTGAAGTAAAATGCAGCCTATTACATTCAAGTTACCGGGGCTAGCGTTCTGTCAGGTCCTGAAGTTGATAACAACTCATATGGTGAGCCCTCGGATCAAATCGTTGATGATTTGGATAACGCTGCCGATCTCCGAGACATAATTCGGGCGTACAAACATCGTCGGGTGGTGGATAACTACATTCTCGACTTGGGATCAGGTGGTCCCAAAACCGCCATTCTTTTCCCTCCTATCATATTTGGCACTGGTAACGGTCCCGTGAATCAACGCAGCATCCAGGTTCCCTCATTGGCCCGGGCCGCTCTGCTGCAACATGTTGGTCTATACCTTGGCAGGGGACTAAGTCGATGGGGCATTGTTCACATCGCTGATCTGGCGGATCTCTTTGTCAAATTGGTGGAGCATGCTGTCAACGCCACCCCCAGTCCTATCTGGAATGAGAACGGCCTTTTCTTTGTGGAAAATGGTTTCGAGGTTAGTTCATGGCCTAATATGTCCCAACTTCTCCGCGCTGACCTTCTTTTTTCCTTTCAGAGCTTCAAAGATGTCGCTTTGGTGATCGCCAAAGAGGCGCATAGCCTCGGTTACATTGATTCGCCTGATTCAGTGCAATCCATGAATCTCGATGAGGCCAACGTAGTTATACCTAATGGAGCTGTGTTCCTGGGTACTAATGGTCAAGGCCGAGCTTCACGGGCAAGAAAGCTGTTAGGATGGCAACCAGATGGCGAGAGCTTCCATAGCGCCACGCGGGAGACAATCATTGCTGAAGCAGCACAGCTGCGATGATTTCTCAAGCATTGATTGCAAGTTCAATCCATATTATTCAGCCAAACTGCTATCATTTATTTCACATTCTTTACGTAGGACCAATGTAATATTAGGGTTTCTATACCCACGGGGCTACATTTCTGAGATAAGAAATAAGAACATTCTATAACCTTGGCGAAAATAAATGATGGCATATACAATCTGTCTCAGAATGTCCACTCGACTACTCCGTACTGATCTTTGAATTCTCATAGATAATTAACAAAAAAATGGTCTTGGAACTAAAAAGGGACTGGATCAATTGAAAACCACTAGCCACCACCAGGCTGAAATCAACCCAGATAAACCTCCTTCTTCAAATTGCATATAAGCTTCAACAGCAAATTTATATCCAAATAAGTTGCTAATCATCAACGGCCTGAACGAAAAGTCAGTGTACCGCCCCGCCGCCTTGTCTGACCGCCTCGAAATTTGCCGGACTTTACTTTTTTTCCTTTACGATTTTTATCACCGCCAAACAGCCCTCTTTCTCATCACAATATATTGCTTTCTTTGACTCTTCTCCACCTCGTCGTCCTCAATCATCATGGCGACTCTGGCGGAGAAGCTTGAGAAGATTAAGTCTCCTAAGCTGCAGAACCAGCATCACGTAAGTTTCCCTGTTGCACACCACCCAATGAATTGGCACTAACATTCATGAACAGACCGCTGTGGTGCTCTCTGCAGTTGAGGATACTCTCCGTGATCAAAAAGCAGACTTCTCACCCACCGCATATTTTGCTGCCCTTCTTGCACTGCTCTCGCAGTCACTGTCCGCATCCCAGGGTATTGTCAACAAGGACCTAGCGACATCCGTTGTCTACCTTCTCGACATCACAACCGTTTACGTCCCCGCCCCGATCCTTTGCTCCAAATTTTCCCAGATCCTCGAAGGCCTTGCACCCGCGCTTTCTCTCCCCGAGGTCGAAGCCCCGCTCCTGCGTCCTTCAATTGGCTGTCTTGAGTCTCTGCTCATTGCCCAGGATTCTGCATCATGGAATCTCCCGCACACACAGGTCGGCCCGCGACGCGCAATGGCAGGTCTGCTGAGTCTCTCGGTTGACCACCGCCCCAAGGTACGGAAGCGTGCCCAGGAGGCTCTTGTCAAGGTTCTCAAGGCGCCCCCGCCGAGCCCGTCTCTGGACCACCCGGGTGCGGATATGTGCGCCCAGTCTGCGATGAAGACTCTGGGTGATAGCATCACAGCCGCCCATAAGCAAAAGAAAGGTCGTCATGATGCTCAGGCCAACAATCATGAGCCCCTTATCATTCACTCGTTGCAGCTGATCAAGACCATTGCCTCGGCGTCAGGTGGCTGGCCCAGCAAGAAGATCGAACCGCTCAGCGAACTTCTGATGAACGCGTCCCGCTCTAGCAATGAGTACATCACTATGGGTGCCTTTGAGGTATTTGAGGTCATTTTCGAAGGAATGGCAGATGAATTCTCGTCTTCAAAGCTGCCCCGTCTTTTGGATGCTATCTCCGAACTCAAGCCTGCGCAGAATGACTCCCAGCTTCTCCCCCCTTGGATTGCAGTGCTCTCGCGCGGTTACGATGTGGCCGCACAAATCACTCCTGAAGATACTTTCGAGAAGTTGCCGGATCTGTTCACTTTGATTTCTGGATTCATGGCTTCGCCTTCCAGCAACATCCGCGTTTCCGCATCAGAGTGTCTGATCTCATTCCTACACAACTGTATCCCCAACAGTGTTATTGTGGATCCATCTGTGTATGACGAGAAGACCTTGGAGAAGTTGTCTCGTGCAGCCATTGATCTTCTGTCGGTGAAGTACCAGGCTGCTTGGAAAGAGGTGTTCAATGTTTGCTCTGCCCTCTTCGATTGCTTCAAGTGGCGATCAAGCCCATATCTGGTCAAGATTGTCTCCACCATCGGTGAACTGCGCAGCAATGGCGGCTTCCACGGCAAGAAGGAAGCCGACGCCGTCATTAGCAGTGCTATCGAAGCAATGGGCCCCGAGGCAGTATTGGAGATTCTTCCCCTCAACATTATCGAGCAGAAGGCTGGTCAGCCCGGTCGTGTCTGGATGCTGCCCATTATGCGCGACAGCGTGACCAACACGAACCTCCGCCACTTCCGTACCGAGCTCGTTCCCCTGAGTGAGGCACTATACCAGAAGGTAGTGGACTTCGGTGCCGCTGAGAAATCTGTGGAAGTGAAGATCTTCGAAACCCTCGTCCAACAGACCTGGGGTACCCTTCCCGGCTACTGCGAGCTGCCCCTTGATCTTGAGGAGGCGTTTGACCAGACATTCGCGGAGCTGCTGTCCAACGTTCTGTACAAGCAGACCGAATTGCGTCTCGATGTCTGCCGGGCTTTGCAGAACCTGGTTGAGTCTAACCAGGCTATCTTGTCTGTCGAAAACGATGAGGACGATCTGATCTTGCAACGACGTATCACCAAGGCTGCTGCGAAGAAGAACCTCATTCATCTCGGCGGTCTTGCGAGCAATCTGCTGGCTGTATTGTTCAACGTCTACAGCCAGACCCTTCCTCACTACCGCGGCTACATTCTGCAGTGTATCAATGCCTACTTGAGCATCACCCCTGAAAATGTAAGTTGCCTTCAGTCGCAAATTAACACGACTAACACCCTTCATAGGAGCTAAACGACACTTTCACCCGTGTTACTTCAATGCTTGAATCTTCTTTGATCACCGAGCAAGAGACAGCAACCAAGCAGAGTGCTTCGGCTCAGAACTCGTCCGACAAGATGCCACCGACCTCCCACACTCTGATTGACCTCGTTATCGCAATGTCAATCTACCTCCCTCGCTCCAGCTTCAGTGGCTTGTTTGCCATGGCGGCGGCTATCCTCAACAGCACATCCCCCAACCCGGATCAGCAACTCATTAAGAAGGCCTACAAGTTGATTCCCCGACTTGCAACGACCGAGACTGGTCGCGCCGCCCTCCAGGAGCGTAGTGGGGAGTTGCAGGCTCTCATGCTTGCCACCACCGATACCACCCCTGCATCTGGCCGTCGCGACCGTATGCTCGCTATCACCGAGATAATCAATCACCTCCCCACCTCGGACCTGCACTTCATCCCGGCCATCCTGTCCGAGGTGGTTCTGGGCTGCAAGGAAAGCAACGAGAAGGCACGCACAGCGGCCTTTGACCTGCTGATTCTCTTGGCCAAGCGCACAACCGATTCAGAGCGTAACCCTCCCGGCACTCTCATCCGCAGATCTCTTGTGCCAGGTGTGGCGGACGATTCCCCGGATGCGCCTGCTACCCTGGAGGAGTTCTTCACAATGGTCTCCGCCGGTCTGGCTGGCTCGGCTCCTCACATGGTCGGCGCCACCGTCACTGCGCTTTCGCGTCTGTTCTTCGACTTCCAGACACAACTCCAGCCGGAGATGCTCAAGGAACTCGTTGAGACCGTTGAGCTCTTCCTTACCTCCAACAACCGTGAGATCGTCCGCTCCGTCCTTGGCTTCGTCAAGGTTGCCGTCGTCGTTCTCCCCGACGAAACTCTACGCCCCCGTCTCAACACCATGGTCCCCAGCCTCATGGCCTGGAACAAGGAGCACAAGGGCCGTCTCCGTAGTAAGGTGAAGGGCATCATCGACCGCCTTGTGCGCCGATTCGGTGCACCCCTTTTGGAGGCTATTGTCGGCGAGGAGGACCGCAAGCTTATAGTCAACATCCGCAAAGCCCGTGAGCGCAGCAAGCGCAAGAAGAGAGAGGGTGCCGAAGGTGAAGACGAAGACGAAGAGGAGAAGGCCTCCAAGCCGCAAGCCGGCAACGCCTTCGACAAGGCCGTCTACGGCTCTGACTCGGACTCCTCCGACAACTCGGACGACGGCGACAGCGACGTCGACGTCGACAACGTTGCCCAAATCAAGGGCCGCAACTCCAAGAAAAAAGCAGGCCAGAGCACCCAGTACATCCGCGAGATGTCCCCCGAAGACAATCCTCTCGATCTGCTCGGCTCCAACGCCCTGGCCAGCATCTCCACCACCAAGCCCAGCCAGCGCTTCCTCAACACAGGCCCGGGCTCGAAGAAGAAGCAGCGCAATGCCAAGGTCGACGCCGACGGCCGTCTTGTCCTCGGCGATGACGGCGATATCGTCGACGACGTCGAGATGTCCGGTGCTGGCGATGGTGGCGTGAACGCCTACCTCGCTGCTGTGAGCGGACCCGATGCTGTCCGCCGTGGCCAGAGAGGCAAGGTGAAGATGGGCCAGTCGTCGAAGAAGAACGCAGGCGATAGCATGGATGTCGACGAGGACGACCTGAAGCAGGACCTGCGCGCTTCCGGAACCGGTCAGAGCTCCGGCCGTCGTGGTCTTGGTGCGCCCAAGACTTCCGGTGCGTCTGGCGGCGGTCGCGTTGAGAAGCGTCGTAATCCAGGCAATGCTCCTCGCGGTGGTAACCGCTCGGGATGGGGCAAGAAGAGATAAACTATTTACTCTACGGTGAATCGTATATTTTTCTTGCCGGTACTGTAAGTGGAGAAGAGGGTGGCATATAGCAGATCCCGGAGTTATCGTTCTGAGTTTCCCTGTTTTTGATTTTTGATTCTTTTGTTTCTGCCATCTGGTCTTCGGTCCCTGTCGTGCTTGGTTAGTGTTGACGTTCTCATAATACCCTCCGCTGTGGTGATTCCGTTGACTCTGGGCTTTTTCTGTTTCGATGCAGAGTTATTGACTCCGTGTTTTTCATGATATGATTACGATTCTGTTCAAAAGTTTCTATTAGGTCAATGGACATAGATATTGTTTTATTTTGTGCATGGACGTCTATGTAGGATCGATGGGTAGCTCTACATTCGACACCGATATCACATGACACTGATGAAATGCTACTAAATCTACAACTACTGCTAAATACCAGAACCCAATGCAGTGATTTTATCATATCCTCATTTGCAAAGCAGTTTCTCATGCAAAAAAAAGTGTATCGAACATATCAATCAGAATTTCATGAACGCGAGCCAGCCAACCAGGCAGCTCAGCAGCATTTCCCACAGCATCCATCGCTCGCTCCGAGAAGTGGAAGTAGACGTAAATGTAGAGCGCGACGCAAAAGGGACAGACAACAAGAAGCTGCAAGCTTAGACCAGACGACATCACATCCATCCAAGCGCATAGCGTCGACAGCTTCCTTTCCTCGCAGTATACAGCAGACAGGACAGTACAGTACAGTAGTATCAGCCCACTGCGAGCATCCGAATCCAGCCAAAACTCCTGCCGATGCAATTTGCAATTCCAAACGACGACCATCCGTATCCGCACGGCGCGAAATCAAATCGACACCGTCGCTCATCGGAGGTCATCGAGCAGTTTGTGTCCTGGCGCCCCTTTGTTCTTTTTCCTTTTCCTTTTCAACACTCGGTCTTTCAAAGGTATCGACCCGGGAAGGAGAGCAAGCGATAAGTCGACAGACCAGACCAGACCAAACACACAACAAGCACGTGGTAACAATGCGATAATTAGAACAGAATCTCCCCGCTGTGCTCGGGCTCGAAACCGAGCGCTTGGAGTTCGTCGTAGCGCTTCTTGTCGCCTGTTTTCCTCTTTGCGTCCTCTTTCTTCTTCAGCTCGAAGACTTCTTCGAATGGGGCTCTGGTCAGTGTGGGCGGGATATCGTCTTCGCGGTCAAGGTCCTGTATGGAATTGAGAATGCGTTAGCGGGGTTCCTACCGGTATACCTTAACTTGCAGCAGGAATTGAGGAGATCATACCACTTCGCCTAGCAGGAGCACGTTCTCTCCACGAACAATGAATATGCCACGTGAGACATCGGCGTACAGCTGTCCGGCGTAGACGCGCTCTATAGTATCCTGGAAAACAAGGTTCGCTAGAAGATAGCATGTCAGATAAAAGAGCGAGACAGATTGGGGTTGAGCGTAGTGCGACTGGCATACCGAACTGGTCCCAGCTTCTGAGAACGCCGATGAGTTTGCGACCGTCGCGAAGGATGAGTACAAGTTTCTCTGCGATTGTGTCAGCCTTCTTTATCTCCCTTGTTCTTCAGCTCTAGGTCGCTTGAGCGCAGCTGCACATACTATCTGTTAGATCGAGCAGCTGTGCGGCGGTCGTGAACATCTGCGGGGGTAATTGCGGCGGGCCGCCTGTTGGCTGGGGGCCTGCTGGGCCGAGGGCATTCTGAGTGAATTGTTGGTTTTGCTGCGGGGTGCGAGAGGCCGGGGCAGGGCTTTCGTTTAGAGATAGGCGCTCCATGGCGTTCCGCTCCATGGCGTTGTCTGTGTTGGATTGGCGGAGGGAAAATCGGAAAGCGGTGTGGAGGGGTAGGGAGGGAGGCGGGAGGACGCTGATACAGAGAGATTCAGGAATTGGAGGTGGAGCTTCTCATTCTGTTTCTGATCATTCGCGATGGAGGGATCGAGGTCGCAAAGGCCGTCATCACGGGCGGTGAGTTTGTCTTGTTTGCTCGGGGCTGATCTATACATTTTGGTTTTTGATATTCTTCTGAGACATAACATACTCTATGGAAGAAAAAAATACACTTGCCAGTTCTAAGTCTGAGGAAAAGTACACGCTATACAACAGCGAAAGGGGGAATATCCAAAAAAAAAATCAAAAATCAAAAACCAAAACGTGTCTATATCTACAACACCCCGACACCCCTCTGCTGCCCCCTCATCCTCTCTTCCCGTCGCTTACTATACGGCGCACAGTACGGCTCATCCGCAGAGCCAATACTAGCCCTAACCCCATCCTGCGAGCGATGATAGGCAGGACTAGACGGCGCAGGCGGCAACTGCATAGCCTTAAACTGCGCATCTGTGATAACGCGCATGCCATACAGATACCGCATAAGCTCGAAATCCGGCCGACTGCCCGCAAGCGTCTGGCCAAGACAGTAATGGTCAGCAGCGACGTGATCGAGCATTCGATCCCACGCCGAGGGAAAGTCTCCAGACAGAGGCCGAACAGCGTCATCGCTAGAGCGGATCGACTCGCTGTCCTCGAGAACGGGGTCTGAAATCCCGTCCACAAACTTGGTATTCGGACACAGCGGACACCGCGCTGACGGCGGCGTCGGGTACGAGCGAAAGTGGCTGACGACGTGGGCGCGCCACTCCGCGCTGTCGGCGAAGGACTTGTGGCAGTCCAGCATGTGGAAGAGGCACGCGTATGTGCGCTGCTCGGTGTTCGTGCTCGTGCTGGCTGTTAGAGGGGGGAATCTTGACGGCGAGAGAGCGGGGTCGGTGGTTAACGGTGTCGGGTCACCGAGAACGTAGATCCCGAGCCCATCTGTGCTGGTATCTCCCTGTGCGGAGTCAACCCCGGTCCCGGGCCTAGTGTCAACTGATGATATTGACGGGGACGGGGATGCGCTCGACAAGTCCGGCACGGCGGGTGAAGAGGACATGGCGGTGACGACGACGCCCGGTTGCTTTCGCTTTGGTTGTCTTTGCGACAGGGCGGGGGTCCTACTGGAAGCGGTGCTGCTGGCGGTCGAACTCACGCTGATACTGACGCTGCGGGTAGAAGACGATCGGCGAAGGTCGCGATCTCTATGGCGGTCTCTATTGCGTGAATAGAGGAGCTGGTCGAGGTCGCCTCGACGAGGGTCCCGATGGTCCTGGGGGCTTGTGGGCTTGCGCTCCGACATGCTCGATGCAAAAGACGGGGAGGTCTAGTACACGGGGTGGATACGGCTGGTTCGTGTCAGAGTCAGGTTACCCGGGGTTACATAGCAATAGGAGTAGCCCTCGACGGGTAGAGGTATGTATAGGATTAGGGAGGAGAGGAGAGGAGTAAGTAATACGGATGAGGGGAACGGGATAGAACGGGAGATACATACACCCCAAGGATCCGATATAAGATCAGCAGAATACCTTCAGATCTGCACTTTTTCAGCATGCATGACATCCATGGGCCGTTCTGCGCGTACAATGTAGACAAGGGTATATAGAAATGGGCTGAAGTGGGGGTGCGGACTTTTGGATTTTTTTCTGAATCTTAGGGCGGGGCAATTGGGGCTAGTTGGGTTATAAGGATTTAGATGGCTTTACTATATACACTATCACCTGGATTTGTGTATATTTTCTTTACTTCTCTTTGTTGAGGATAGGTCTGGGATACAATGCATGGGCGGGTGTCTGCAGGTTGTTTTCGTTGGATAGAGGTTTACTCTTTATAGGAAGTACAAGATGTATTCGTCATTTGTGGATATAAGATTGTATAAAAGATCTTCATAGTCTGGACCTAGAGGAACATTGAATATCTAGGCTCCATGGATCTACGTCAGTATTCTTCACAAGTACGAAGAGCAGGGTTGCGAAGGAATCTAGATCGTTGGACGTGTTCTAGATAAAGCTTCAGTTGACATGTGAATGTATATTTCTGATTCTATTCTTGGAGATAATGGAATAGAGTTGCAATATTGTTTCAGATTCGATGTCAAAGACATCCGGAGTATTCAGATAATACTAGGCTGTATACATATACGGCCAAGTGGATTGCGGGGAGGTATCACATGCAAATAAGCCAAAACCTCCGATACTAAGAAATCAAGAGTAAATGTCTTGATTTGCTCACAATGTGAGGAATTAAGTAAGTGAAGAGAAGTGAAGTAAAGGAACAGGTTCAGAAGTAAATAAGACCACAGGCCTCGGGAGAGGAGAAGGACATAAAAAAGTAGGTCTTTCGACACGAATTTTGAACTCGAAGTAAAAAAAGAAAATCTCCAGAGGAGTGACCAGGCAGGGGTAAAAAAAGATCCCAATCCGTCTATTTGGTGGAAGCGCCAGAGATAAAATCAACAAACCCAATCCGACACCGTTGATGCCCGCAAGCCAGGTAAAAATGCACAAGTCTATATCGTTTCGTGGCGCGCATAACATAAGTTTTCAAGGCATAAAAGGTTGCAAAGAAGATGAGTTAGAACCGGTCTGCCAAGTCACCGCCAGCAACGGAATTGGTGGCTGACGAGTTCATGGAAGAAAATCCGGCCGCGGGGTTGAGCATGTCCTGCACCGCAACCTTGGGAATCTGGGGCACGGGCAACTTGCGCTGTGTGCCGTCGGGTTTCGACATGATATCGGAGATGGTTGGGCCCATGTGCCCCTGGTTGGGGCTGTAATAATTGGGCCCTTCTGGTTGCGGCTCCATGGGCGCGAGAGCAGGGGTGTGCTGGAGAGACAGGTGGCGAATCGAAGGCAGATGCAGCTCGCTGGCACCGAGAGGACGCAGACGGGGCGAGTGTGCAGGAGTGGCCAATGGAGTGTGATCAGGGGTAGGGGAGAGAGAATCGTGGGAGAAAGTAGGAGAAGAAGGAGCAGTGGAGTTGGGAGAGTTGGGACGAGAGCGCTTGACACGGTGACCATAGCCATCGTCGTCATCGTTGGAATGCGAACGGGTCATGTTCTGCGAAATCGCATACGCGGAGAGAGAAGGGAGGCCACGGCTAGTGCCGTGATGACGGGAGCCGAAAATCTGGTGTCCCCGCGAGCCGTGGAAGCCCATGTGGTCATCCCGCTCTACTTGCGACGCAGCTGTAGCCAGGAGATTGATATCCATTCCGGAGGAAGCACGCTCAGCGGTGCGGGAATAAGGACCCAAATTCGAGCGCATGTGGTTGGCGTAGTTGGAGAAGGAGTGGGGAGGGGAGACATCCGGGGATCCGACCTGCGATACTGGCGCGGAGCGAGTGATGGGCTTGCTAGGAGGTGGCATCATGTTGGAAGCATTCATTCCTGAGTCTTGGCCTGCGGCGGCTGCGGCCGCCGCCAGGTGCTGAGCCTTGTTACTGCGGCGCGAGTTGGGGTTGTTGTGGATGCGCGAATGGCGAGTTAGCTCATCTGATCGACTGAAGCGCTTCGTGCAGCCGGGGAACTGGCAGGCGTGTGGTTTCTCGCCGGTGTGCGTGCGGATGTGTCTCGTCTGGTGCTCCAGGCGGTGGAAGGCACGGTCGCAAAGGGGACACTTGTACGGCCGGGGCAGATCCTGGCGGATCTCCTCGGTCGCGGGGCGCGCCCCCTTCATGAGCGGCGGTAACAAGCTCACTGACGAAGCCATTGAATCTCCACTCGAGGATGTGTCGGATTCGTGGGGATTAAGTAGATTTGAAAATCCCACTGAAGAACCCGGCGGTGGCATGTGAATCCGTGCGGCGGATTGATGGGTTATTCTGACAGGAGGACCGGAGGACCGAGAACGGGTTTATCGCAGGGGTCCCGAGCTAAGGTCGATCAGATACCCGGATTGGGATGGGAAGGTCGATCGGGAATCGGAGTGCGGCGGAGAGAGTTCTGATAGCTCGGGTTGGTTATAAACCACGTAGTCGAGTAGTGAAGAAGCGGGAGCCAGAGGAAAGAAGAAGGGGGAAAAAAGGAACCTGGAGACGACGATCTGGGGAGTCACAAATAATATAGGGAATGGAGGGGGAAGGGAGAAATCGGGGGAGAAGGGGCAGTGTCGGAATCGGACTTGGAGAAAAGAAAATTCTGAAAAAACGCAAAGCAAAAAAACGAAAAAAAGAAAAGAAAAATAATAAAATACAAGTGAAAATGTAAAAATGGAGAGTGTGGGGGAGAAGAAGGGGAGACATGGGGCAAAAGAGGAAAAATACAAAAACCGGAAATTCCCAAAGGGGAAATGGGAAACTAAAAGAAATAAAAAAGAAATAAAAAAAAAGAAAAAAAGGACGGTCCTTACTGGATGTACATCAACCTATCTATGTACTATTTAGGATAGATAACTGATTTAACTAAGAACTATTCAAATATAATCATATCCCTCTAATATCTAATATTCTTATAGTATTGCTGTTGTATACTTAACTACGTAACTGCATAAAACAAAAATGTGGGGACTCGCATTTTTGCTGAAGAACCGTGTGGCGTGAGGTGCGTGTCCCTATCCGGCTATCGGGCCTCTAACAATTCTTATCAGAACATGGGGGAAGATATCAGCGCTATCTCGGGATGACGAGCAAAAGACAGTGGATGAGAATAGAAATGATGGCATGCGGAGAGCCGATAACGAGCAGAACCCGGGGTCGCCAGTACTCAATATAAAATGATATATACTCCGTACTTCCGTGCTCCATAGCAGGTACGGAGTACCTAGACATAGTCCTGCGAAACCCAGGGCCAAAGTCTGGGGGTTACGGTCATTCTAGGCCCGACCAGTCCAGGCCCATGTACAATGGATGTACAATGAAGATCCTGGGGACCATCTGATCCCGTCACGGAGTGACGATAGCGAGGATCATCGATGATGTCGACCGAAACGAAACGCCCAAGGGTTAATTCTGGTAATCATTTAGTCATGCGAACACAACCAGTCAACAGGTTATCCAGGCATCCAGCGCGAAGACGAGATACGAAAATGATTCGGGTTGTTCATTGCTCAAGACTTCATCATCCGGAGGAATCACCCCCGAACCCTATATATCGAAACCCTGAGATCAACCCTAGGGTCCTCTGCTCAGGTTCGCCGACAATTCCCCCGGATTTTGGGGTAAGATATGACGAATTTATATACGGAGTACATATAATTGTATATTTCTTTAACCGACTAATATATTGATTGTGGAACGATAGAACAAACACCGCTGATAGGCGCGGATCATCCAATTATTGATAGCCCCGATGCAGCTGCCATGCAGCCGCAAAGCCGCGTATCTCTAGATGCCAGTGTCAGCCCCTGCACAATGCGCACTCGGCTGTATTCCTTGCGCAATCAGACGGCGGTATCCCTGACTGCCAAGACGCCTAAGTATAGACACCGGGGGTTGATTTCCTGGCTGAATCTCACAGGGTAATAACCGGGGTCTGGGGTACCGGTTCAGGATAATATTAAATACACTTCTTGAATGCAGGTATTTAATATTCTCCTATCAGCGATCGGGACCTGTTCACGCTTCTCTAAGAAGGCAACTATAATACAAGATTACATACTTTCGCCCGAAGTTCCCCCGGCTTAATGGAAGAAAAAGGGCCGAGGTGCGGGATAAACGGGACGGGGCAAAGATATGCCCACTCGGCAAGGCCGTCCCGCCGAGAGAGTCCGGTTTGCGCTGGAAGGCGTTATCTTTGGGTCCGGCATAGCGTTACTCCGCGATTCTATTGTATGTGTATGTGTATATTGATTTGATATACAGATACACATATGTTGTACATATACACTAAACTTTACACTACAATACATATCAGGGGATACTCCATCTTGCAGGGTCTAGTGGCGGATCCTAACGGAAGTTTTACCCCCGGCCAAATTCACTCGATCCCCACAGTTCACGATGGCTAAATTCCTTGGCAAATTAAGACCAGCACACAAAAGCAAATCTGAAAGCAAAGCTGAAAGATAACGGAGTATCAGGGCCCAGATGCCTATGTTGTATGCCGGCCCGGCTACCGAGTTGGTACTTTTTTGATCAAGGATCTAGAAATCGCACGAATCCCCGTCAGGTTTAAGAAAATACATACAAGGTAAAATGAGCTCACAATATACCCGACGGTACGGAGCACACTGCCGCAGCCTGGAGTTCTCCATTTTTCTCCACGGGGAATATGGCGCCATTCTGGTCAAAGGCCGGACTCGGAGTGGCAATAATAGCGGTCTTCTGTTATTCTTTATCTCAAGAAGCAGGTACCGTCTCTAAGC